TTTTTTTTTTGGACACTGCATGTGAACACTATCAGAATTTCATTGCATTCGCATGTCAGAAAATCAATACGAGACACATAAAAAACGTTTTACGTCAAACATTTTACGTGTCACGAAACTTATTCGTATGCTTTTAGTGAATATAGTTATCTTATACATAACGGAAGTAATTATCTTATCTCCGCATTCCATTATATGCATCGCTGATAGCGAATAATTGCTAATTATCTTTTCGAAGTAATCAATATTCGACCGTCAAATATATTATAATTAACTATAAAAAATATTAATCTAATATTATTTAAAAAAATTTTCTTTATTTTAAAGAAAAATTTATAAATACAAGAAAATAAATTATCAAAAATTTTAAGCACCCTTGACTTAAAATGCGAAAAGAAACTTAGATGAATATTATTTAGAAAGACTTTAAAAATGCAAATTGAATAATCTTTCCTTTTTTTAATATAAAAATTTTGTCTTTCTTTTCTCAAATTTATTAATAATATTAATTAATGATAATAATTCTTAATGTATTTCGCCAATTTATTTAAAAAATAAAATAAAATAAAAATGGATATGATGCTAAAAATTGCTTCAGTTCGAAAAAACTATGTCTTCACGAAGAAATATGTTCCTCAGTCATTCTTATGTTTTCGAGATTAGTATTCTGCCATAAAAAGGCTATTAGAAGATGACTTTTTCAATCTAAGAAAATTATTTTTAGCTTGAGCCAACCCCAACGATATATTCTCACCGATGGTGGTGATGACAGTGAGACAATATGCGACCGCATTCAAGAAACTCCAACTTTTTTGACCGCTGTACGAGTGCAGGCCGGCTTCGTGAGCAGTATGAAGCTGTTCCTCGAATTCCATTAGTTTTTTACGCGCCATACTTTTCCAGTCGTCCTCCCTCAGATTGTGACTGTAATTCCACAGACTATCTAGAAAGTCGCGCTTCACGCGCTTCACGCCGCATTTGTAGAACGTTTCGAAAGCACCCTCGACGAAACGGAAGATGAAACCACCGAGACCGCAGTAGATTATCACAAGCAGCAGTCCTGCTATGCAGCGATTACGCAACTGCCTGATAATCGTTGTCTCACGTGGATTCTGCGCGACAAAGATCTTGAACTCATTGACGATGTCTCTAAGAGCCCTGAAGAAATCTAATAGAGTAACTTTCTCCACAGTTTCCTGCTTCTCCGTAGTTTCCTGCTTCTTCGTAGCTTCCTGTTTCTTCGCTACAGCTTCTTGCTTTTTCGCTTCGTGCTTTTCTGCAATTTTCTGTTTCTCTGCTTTGACCTCCTCAACTTCCTGAACAAGTTCTGGTTCGTCTTCCCTTGTCTCTGGTTCTTCAACTTTCTTCTTTACGATGTCTTCATCTTTCTTCTTCCCGTGCCAAAAAAATAACCAAGAGAACCATGATTTCTTCTTGTCAGCCACATCGGACTGCGTTGCGTTCTGAACGATGTCTTCACGTTCGCTCTCGCTGCTAGGCAGACTGAACTTCCGCCTCCTCAAGGAACTAGCTTCAACCACATCATCGAACACGTCTCCCACTTCCGGGTCTAGAATGCTACGTTCCCTCAGCATGTACTCTCTCTGAGCTCTCGCAAAATCCTCGATCAGACTCTCGTTGCTCAGCGGGATGATCTGCTTCTTCACATCGATTGAGGATCTCTTCACTATCCGCTCCTCGGCAGATCTTTGCGGAAAACTCTCGCTCTTCTTCATGACTTTCGGCTCTTCGTCCGTGTCTTCAATCTGACTGTAAGGCCTCGAGCGTGGCTTCTCAGAATCATCTTTCGATCGAGGTTCATCCTCCAACTTATGTCGACTCGACGATCTCTTCTCTCGGTTCAATTTCTCAGTGTTTCTCTTTTGCACTTCCGGATCACTGGCTCGACTCTTTCCGCTCGTCTTCTTCACCCTGGATCTGATTACTTCCGGCGATTTTGTCCTCTTACGACTTGACTCACTCTTTTCATCGACGTCGCTGGAGTCTGTTGATCGGCTATATCTCTCCGCGCGCTCCTTCGACTTTCTTTTATGTCGCCTTTCGACTTTGCGGGCCTCGGTAAGTTTGGCGACCTCGCCGTTCGTTTCTTTTGGTGTCTCCGACGTTTCTTGAACAACAATATCTTTGATCATTTGAACAACTTCGGGTCTAATGACCTCTCTCTTCGCGGTATCATCATCGGGCTTTCGCGTTGCTTCGATCTGCTTTACCGGTCGCGTGCTGTTGTCGCCAGCTGTTGCGACGTCAATCTCACGTGTCTTCAAACTATTCCCAGCCACCGATTTGGCGGCCACTTCGGCGCGTACGGCAATCATGTCATCTACGTTTGCGGAATTTCTTGCGTCAGTCCTGCTTCTTCTCCTGGCGGGACGCGACTCCCGATCATCCCTCTTTTTCTCTTTGTCCTCGACTTCTTTCAAAGACGTCTCCTGCTGCTGCTGCTGCTGCTGCTGCTGTTGTGACAGTCTGTTCTCTTTCTGTTGCTGCTCCATTTTCTCCGCCTCCTCGGCCATCCTTTCCATTCTGGCGCGCTTCTCCTCATCCTCGTCGTCCGAAGTGTCCATGCGCGACGCAGCACCCCTCGACGAGGGGTCGGGCGTCTTCTCACGCTTTCTGGCCGCCGCCTTGCGACGTCTGTGAACCATGTAACTATCCTCCATCGCGGCTGTTTATCGTCGTCGTCGTCGTCGTCGTGGTTGTTGTCGTCGTTCGGTCTTTCTATACGCGAGAACTTTCGCGAAAGACACTTGCGAGACCGGCCCCGGCGAGGCCGGGACAGAAATAAAACGGAGGCTGCTCCCACCACCACCACCACCACCACAGCCACCACCGTCGTCGGTACAGCGATGTTTGCTGCTACCAGCCACGACGGCGGATCCGGAGCGGCTTTACCGCAGCGGGTATCGAACGGGAGCGCCGCGCGCAATCGAAACCGCGGTTTTGGGTTTGGCGTCGCGATGCCGCGCCTGCACCACCGCAACCCGTTTTCCGCGCTCGAAAATCGCACTGCACCACTAAAGTGTAAAAATCAGGGTGGCCCTTTGACCTTGTGACCCAATCAGGATTAAAAATATGATTGCATAAAAATTCAAATATATCTCTATTAAATTTTGCGTTAAAAGAAAATTAATTAAAAAAGAATAACGAAATGAAAAAATAAAATAAAGAAGCAAATAAATCAAAAAATTGAAGAAAAGAAAATAAAAAATCATTAATAATGAAATTGTTAATTATTAATTATTAATAATGAATCGATAATTACATAACGTATTCAAGTAATAATGAGTGAACAAATGAAACTATTTTGTAAAAAAAAACAAATATTTTAATAGCATATACGGTACGTTTGTTCAATTTGTTATAAAATGTTATAGAAATTCTAAATTATAATTAGATAACAATTGTAATTAAATACCAAGTGCGCGTATATTTATGTAATGTTGTATTTGTACATAGAAAAGCAATGGTTTGTTGAATTGAACTTAATTATATAATTATGGGTGACATATGTATAGAAGAGCTTAGAACTATTATCATGTATTTCATAAAGCTATTATAATTTGATTATTACGTTTGCAATTAAATTCGGATGGAACAATTAACAAGACAAAAGCTTACAATAAGCTGGAAATATTAAATTACTGTTTTACTTAATAGTGATTTAATGTAAATGAGGTAATTAAAATGGAGTCGAAGTACTTTAAGCAGCAAGATACTTTGAAACAGTCATTTTCATATATCTCAATAAATTGTGTGTGTGTGTGTGTGTGTGTGTGTGTGTGTGTGTGTGTGAGACAGCAAAAAATTTCACGTTTCTGATAATTTTAGTAAAAAGAAAAGAAATATACTTCATTATTCTAATTTATAAAATATCCATTACGGCATTAAAATCGTAATTCAATTCAAACTTTTATAAAATATAGAGAGCAAAAAAGTAATGACGACTATATAACGTGCTCAAATAATATTATGAGTATATGGACCAAAGATATATTATATAAGATTAATTATATAAAGATATAATTCGCGGAAACGTGCTTTCATTTGCATATAACGTGTTCAAATAACATTAAAATCACTACAAGCGAAAATCCTTCATAAAAAATAAATTAAATTGATAATAAATTAAATTAAATTAGTTCGTATACAAGCAGAATTCTTCAACTAAATCAGTAGACATTTATGTGACTCTCTTTGTCATTTTATCGTTAGCGATTCAAAGTCTACCACGATTTATGGACTAAAAATACAATTCGCAGGAGCGTGGTTTCATCCGATGCATTTCATCAGAACAATTGCGTAATTTCCAATATTCCTTCGTTTTGGCATCACAGCAATGCTGTGCGACACTATTAGTAACTATTATCGTAATCAAGATGGAATAATAAAAGAATCAGATAAAAACTTGTTTTGATGGAAAACATACACTTGCATATTGTCTGTATGCAGTGTGATATATACGCATTTAGAAATTAATGTCAGAATTTTATTTCGCAAAAAGTGCACAAGACTAGAGAAGAGAAAGAGAGAGAAAAAAGAAGATTAATTAATTCATTAATTCTCACATTATTAATTTAGAAATGTTCTCTCTTTATTACTCGAGCAGCACATATTCATTTGAGAAATGTTTAATAAACGTTTGACGGTAATAAAAAATTAAATATATTTAGGAAACATATATAAAATCAATATATGTTATCTGGGTTATTTTCTCTTATCAAAAAAATAAATATGTTATGTTTATTTTATTTTAAATTTTGTTTTAAATCAAAATAAATATGTATTAAATAATGTGATAAAAATAGATATACAAATACATAAATCTACGTACATACGCGTCAGCATATACAAATTCAAAAACCAATTCAAATATTTGGCACCGCTTCTCGTACAGATTTAATTAAAATTTTCCGGACGAAGCTATGATTATACGTGTATTCTACAAACATTGGTGAATGCAATTCGATTTTAATTACCAGTATGAATCTCGTAGACTTTTGCAAAATATCCCGATGCTACGCGATATTTTCCATCCGATATCATAATGCGTCGCGACTGAGCAAACTCGGCGCTTAACTCGGGCGAGAAAACGTCGCGAGAGGAATTCCTCGCGCTTCATGTCTATCGAGAATTCGAAAGCGGGGACACACTTGCCTATGTTTTCCAACGATCATCTTACGCGTTCTTTTCCGTTATATAATAACAAGACTCGAAATAGTACGGGCGGGTATACAACGTTGTCGTTCAGAAAGCTGCACGCATGAATGTGCGCAGTGTTCGAATCGCCAAGTTTTTCACAGTCGAAAGAATAAAGAGAAACGTATGAGGCATGCACGTATATTTTGTCTGTGAATTTTACATGGTTGTGCAAACATCGCAAATCATTTTCTACGATCGCAAGTGTCGCGACGAATCTCGACTCCGAGTCTCTCTCAACGGAATTCAATGGATTTCTTTTATCTTCGATCTTTTAACTTCGTTCGACTATCGACGCGTTGCGTTTAATCCAAATAATTTTCCTGCGCGTATATAATCGGCACGTGTATAAATAGTGCGTACACGTCTGGACAACCACGATTAAATCGACGATTTAATCGATTTCTAGATAATCTGTGTCATCTGTGTTTTCCCGTGTAACACGGCGTGTTATTTTGAACTTTCGTGCAGTTGCTCGGAATTGTTGGAAAATTAGATTCCTAGGTAGTCTAAAAAAAATATATTCCCGGAAAAATGCGAAAAATTACGAATATACGAAAGAGCAACAGTACAATAACAAAGATTTAAAACAACATTTTTAAATCTTTTTTTTTTTCATTCGAAAAAAAACTTTTTATTTATTTCTACTTATTTTAAATTAATTTTTCTCAGTAATTGCCCTTTTCCTTCTATGCGTTTGTATTTATAAGTCAAAAATATTAGCGAAATATTAGCGAAATATCGCTCCCATAGCGAAAATACTTGTACTGTCATCAAATAACGCTGTGTCAACGAATAAAATATTTTTCGAAGTTTCATATTGAACAAGTTACATTGACCATGTGTATGTATCAATTCCGTGAGAGAGCGAAAACTGTAGCACTTAGCACAAACTGGGTCATATACGTTGTATATCAGAGAATTTATCGTATAAGAATATGCAGATGTTTTGTTTCATTATGATTTATCTTGTCGTAAACGACATATTAAACTCTCAATAAACTATAAAGTATATCGATCCTTAAATATTATTATCTCATTTTTCGTGAAAGATCAGTTCATTTTCGCGAAGGATCAGTTTATTTTCGCGAAAGATTAGTTTATATACTCCTATACTAATACTCCTATAATAACATCCGATAAAAAAAAAGCTCCGTGGAAATCCAATATCGCTTTAGTCGAGTCATAAACAAGAGCGATAATTCCATCTTAGTTTTTATAAGATATCGCACGTAAGAGGGAAACCTTCCTATTAATACAGTCTCCATCGATAATGTAACGAAATTATTCTCATGTACAAGGAACCAATCCGAGTCATTTGCATCCAACAAGACTGCATTCAAACTGCCTGCATCTGTATTGCCAGAACCCTGCATAACCCGCAAACCTATATGTAAAGCAAGAACTGTATTTGAAATCAGTCGTGTCACACACGTCGCATATTGATATATACATTATACGTATTTCCCTCTGCGGATACCTCACCATGGACTTTCGATCTCTACTCCAGAAGAAAGCTGCGCAAGATAAATAAGCTGAAACTCTCATCAAACCACCCTAAAGAATAAATGAAAATAACTTCCGCGAGCTTTATAAACGAAACAGCAAGATGGTACAAGTTGATATACGACCAAATGTTTTGTCAGATTCAAAGCGTTTTGTCACAATAATAGAATCACTCTAGAGACAGTCGGCTCTTCTAAAGGCGTACGGGATTATATTTTGCACGAAAATCATTCTATTTCCAGATATGCGTACATCACGCAAATAGCAGCACTTCATCTTTTTTTTGTGGCTAGCTCTTTTCTTAAAAAAAATATACATTCTTATGTGTTGAGTGTATCATCGTGAAAAATTGTGAGAATAAATTCTTTGTTCGACAAAAATAAGATTGTTGATAATATTTCAACTGATAATTTCAACATGAAAATAGAATTTTTCTGTCAATTTAGAATCGAAGAATTACATATTTAAAGATTTATCTTGCATTAATTGCTAAAAATTGGGATGCTAAAAATAACGAGGTTCCAACAAGTGATTAGAGCGTATCTAGAGATAGTATACTCACCGATGGTCGTATAAATGGTGCCACAGTAGAATACAGCATTCCAAAACGTCCAGACTTTTTTGCTGTTGTCCACCAATCCTTGATTAAAAAATTGAAACATGTCTTTTTCATATTCTGTCAATTCATTTATCGCTCGTCCTCTCCAAAGATCCATATTTGATGCCAACACCGAATCATCGCAAAATTCGCGAATCGTGTTGAGCGTTTGATTCCTATCGACATAAAATATTTATGATAATGTGAATTAAAAGCCTGATTTAAATATTGAAAATTATTAAAAACCTCCAACTGCGAAAATATAAATAATATTAAAGATTCTCTTTTTACACATTCTGCGTTTTATAAAAATTATATTTAATAATATAAAATCAATTAAATATTTTCGTGTCATTTTATCTTTTTTTTCATTTTAACATTGCTTATTTATTATTCATATTATTTATATAGAGTTTCTTATATAATGCTTAGATAAAGATTTCTGAGATCACTTTGAAAATTTTACTAAAATGAGGCTATAATATTTGTTTAAATTATAAATAATTTAAACAAATATTGTATTTAAATTTAGTAACAGATCACTAAAATTTGCTTGTTTAAATGTGGTGAGACATACAATGAAAAAATTAAAATCACTCCTCTTATATTAACAATTTACATCTCAATATTTTTATAAAGACCACAAAATGCAAACATAATGAAGTTTATTTTATTTGATATTTACACAAATATATTGTTTATGCGTATAGTAACATTTTATGAAAAATGTTATAGAAGAAAAGTTATTGCGTATGTAAAACATAAGCTAAAAATAATACGATTGCTTCTATTAATATTTAATTATCTATGCAAATTTTGACATTTCATTGAAAATATTATAGAGGAAAAAACATTAAGCAAATACATAAAACAAAAATTGTGATGATATTTTGTTAGATATGAAGCACACGAACTTAAAATAATTCATTTACTTTAAAAATACTTGTAGTTGTTCAAAAACTATTAAATTAACACCAGAATATGTGCAATTCATAATTCACCTTTTGATGAAATCAAAAAAAGCTTCACTAACGAATTATATATAGATAGTAATTATCTAATTCTGATGACAAATCTGCATATTCATATTATTCACAAACCTCATGTGAATAGTAAATTGCATTTCGAACCACGAATAGCATGAATGGTGTATAATCCATCGCTGGTTTCGATATTCAGAAGAAAAAATTAGTATTCCGAAAAATTTATATAATTTTTATTACTCATGCAATTTAATAATGAAAAAGGCTCCAAGTTATTCTTTTTCATACAAATCTATTGAAATGACTAGCTTAATCCAATTTATCTTGAAGTCCTTTGACAGGACACAGAAAGAAATTTCATAGAATCGTGGATGAGCTACCTTTCATAACACGTGTCACTTCCACATTCTCAATCTGAGGCAATAAATGTTTTCTAAGTATAAACTTTACCAATATTCAGTACTCTCGATCAAAATCGAAATAAACTTCTAAAAGCAGAATAAATCAAGGCAGAGCTACGAGGGTGATTAATTAAAATATTTTCTCAATATTGGATTAAAAGCTGATACATAAATAACAAATTTCAGACATATCTGCCTAATAACGGAGAGTCCTATTCTAATCTAACATAATGACGTTCTCTTATCGTTGAGAAGGCGAAACCACTCCTTTCGAGGATTAATTTTAGGGAGGCTTTCTAGATTCAACCCTTGCTTAAATAGAAATATCCAAGATTACCCAAGATACGCTATAACTTAACAGTAAAGAATTATTTATTTTTGAATTAATAATCACACAAGATCTTTAGATTACGTCAGGATTAAATTTAGGCTAAGGGATGCAATATTTATATCAATAGTGATGCAATATTTCGCCAATGCGAGAAGGGAGATATCTTCCCTGTTTGTACGCAGATTATAATCTCTTCTGACTATAATACGAGACAGACGTTGACCCTGGCCTTCATAAAGAAAGGAGTGATCTCATCATCTCTTGTTACGTGTAATGTTTTCATTCTAAATATCAATGTGTATCAATGTAGACTAAATGAGCATTTAACTGATTTTGTCTTATCGCACCTGTCACGCGAGATCAGTTTCTTATATAGATACGAGGAGCCGTGTTTCTTAGCTGCAAAATTTCTCCTGGCCTTCGTCCTAAGGCCAATCGATCGAGCCAGAAAATTACGGGGAAATCACATCGTAACCAAAGAAAAGCGCGAAATCGTGCTCGCCAACGTAATGACAATCCTCAAAATGAAAGTATGTCAAATCATATCTCGATTTATTACTTTCGTGATAACTTTAAAATTGTCATCAAATTAAATAATTTTTAATTTTTTTTTATTTTTAATCACGTTTCTCAAGAATTCATATGAATTAATTATTACAATTTTTCGAGTTATTGAGTTTTAAGAGAAAACATTTAATTGTTAATATGCCAATTTTACGATTTGAATCAAATATATTTCTTTTTTCATAGAATGGATGTAAAATGTTCTTTTGCAAAACGGTATTGCTTTGCTGAATATAGAAATCACACAATGGATTTAAAAGCAGACGACATTAAAGCAGCTCAGCGAACAATGTTATACGATCGAGTGTGAAATCCAATATTGGTTAGCATGATTAACAACAATTGTTATACAGAACTAGACGGATGGCATTGGCAGAACTAGGCGGGACCAGAACTGACGTTATCGACAATGAGATTGTATAGAAATCACAACATCAAGTTGACATGTTACGCGGACAATGAAAATCAGATTAGAATTCATAATCACCGGACATTAAGACATGATTGCCTATGAAAATTAGACTAGATGACAGATCATTGAGACATACTAAATACCGTTTTCTTTTCTTTATTCGCAATGAAGAATTCGTTTGATTTCTTAGTTCATTTAAATTCTATATATTTCCTGGACAATCAAATAATTTGTAAATCGCGATGCGTTGGCATCTAGTTAACAATCTATATCTTAATATATCTATATCTTAATAAAGTAAATAATAGATTTTGTTTGTAATGACCAATGAGAATTCTTTGCTCTAACTCACGATAAATCTTTCATGCTTTTCATTAGACGACATTTCTTACAGTTCGACAGTTAGTTAAGATTTCGACAGTTTTTGTGACACTTTCAAATAAATGTTAACATGACTGAAATACTTAAAATACTTTTATATTTTTTAAATAATTGGACATTTTTTTACGTTTGGTTCTAAAACATACCTCCTCTGCCGCATGTTTAGATCACTACTTTTCTCGTGTGGGCCCTCAACTGCTATGAAAATCATCGCCCCAGCGATGCTGTACAGAAGTATGATAGCGAATAAAAAAATATGTGTAAACCATCTTTTGCTCCAGGAACTGACCTACACATAGTACGTATAATATCAAGTTTTAACAATTGAATAAAAATAAAATAATAACAATTTCTTATGGATTATATCAACACACAAAATTAAAATTAATGTTATTTTTCTATCGAGATTTGTCAAGAGTATCTTTATGTGCATTAATAATTAATTCTTAAACAAAGTCAGTTAAATGGATGATGAATAATATTATTGACACCCCCTCCAAATAATAGATGTCTAGATTTTACAGCAATCAAAAATATCATGTAAAATCAAAGTATGTACATTGTATAATAATATACTATAATAATATGTATAATAATATTGATTCTACAAGACCTGTTTTACATTGATTAATTAATATTAATATATTTCTTTATCTTTTTAAATTTAAATTTAATTTTGGATTTCCAATTGCCTCATTAATCGATTTAAAAATTGATCCACATAACGATTGGTCAGTACATTTTAATGAAGGGACGTCTCTTTTTATCCGATATCCACTTACCTTCTCGTATAGCCAATAGGCGCTCTTCTCCCCTACGCTGAGGCCAGACTTGGTCAGATCCTTGATCCCTTTAAATTGCGTAAAGACGAACTCGCTCGCCCGGTTGGCATAGATCATCTGCGGCTGGCCGGAAACCGGCGTCATCGGCACCGGTGTTTGCCCATACGGCGTCGGCACGTAGCCCATACCGGTCGGCGGCTGCGAATAGTATTGCCCGGGAACCGGAAGTATAATCTTCGGTGGCCTGGGCGGCATTTTTCGCATTCGCGGTGAGTTCGACATGTTTGCGGCCGATCGTGCAGTGTGGGTGTCTCAAGTCTCCGTGAAGTGCGAGTGAAGCACTTAAGCGAAATGTGTGTGTCTTTGGTGTGGTTCTATACGTTTCGAATGTTTCGATAATTCTTCCCGATCGATCCACCCTTAATCGTCCGGGATCCACGTCGAGAGGGTGTCACGGGGAGGAGCTCGACATACTCGAGGAACGAACACCCGAGGTAAGCATTATTCCTCCGGCTGTATTCGATTTCCCCGGGGAACACTTCACGATTCAATGTTTTACAAGAAAACACGATTGCGATCGCTGATGATACAACGTGATGATAATCGACGTGACGATAATCTGCGATATGCATGCAATTTATGAAAATCAAGGGTCTTGGAGTGTTTATGACAGATCATTCAACATTCGCACTATATAAACTCGTCGAACGTATTGGCGACTGGTGTCACTTTGTCCTCTTTTTGTCCCGTCTGCTATTTTCCACAGAATCTATGAATTTTATCCGAACGCAGATATAAATAGATTGACAAACGGAAGAATGTTGGCAAGCTCTTAAAGCAAGATTTCGTGAAAGAGATTTATTTTGAAAAGCAACCAGCAACGTCTCTCTGCGAAATTTACGAAAGAGGTCATTCGCGGCTTCCTAAACGATCTAAACGATTATCAAGAGCCATAAATATATTGCTATATAATATTCCGCTCTGTAAAGAATTAGATGATTCAATTAAAATATTATATTGTAATACAAGAAGAATCATTTTCTAAAGAAAGTAATAAGCCGAGTGCCTTAATAAACTTTTATCGAGAAAATTGTACTTTCCTTGAAATATTAATAATAAAACAGAATGTTCTTTATGAAAAGCACTTTCAATAATTCAATATGTTCAAATTACAATATGTAAAGAATGTTATAATTAAATTATTTTAACATAATTCTAAGAGACCTATATCTCTTTGAATGAAGTAAATTTAAAATATATTAATTAAAATGAATAAAAAATATCTTAATGGTCTAACGTTCGTGTAAATTAATTAATGTTAATTTCAGCTCAATTAATGCGAATGATAATCACGAAGAATCCAATTGTGTCAATGATTTTGACCGTGCCAAGTAATTTTCTTATAATTATGCGAATATGCTTCTGTATAATTGTGCTTCTGTAATCCTGTTTCTATCTAAAATTATTCGGACGACATGTAGCCGTAGGTCAACGACCCCGAGATTCTGGCAATAGATAGTATAAGAGTATGTGCACTTAACGCGACGGATGATGGGAAATAATTATATTTCGCGATTGCACAGTCGCGTTCAGCCGTGCCGCGATCAATCGCAGTGCGATTTTGTTTTAGAACATATAATGCAAAAAAATACGTAAAGCGACTATATATTGCATGTGGTTATTAAAGAAACATTTTACAACAAAAATTTAAAATATTTAACATGATGCTTAAGCATTAAACACTGACATATAAGAGAAAACCTATGCGAAGCACGTTCACAAACTAATATACTATCTTCCACATTTAAAACGTGGACGGAAATATCATATTGATATTTTTAACAGAAAATGTTTTCTGACATTCTCCATTCTTCATCCATATTAATATGTTTAAACATTTTAAATATATTCGTATGGAAATTTACGTATTTGTCACGCGTAATAAAATTAGAATGAATTTAAGAGAGATTCACAGAGGTGCAATATTTTGCTGAAAATAAGGAAAAATCTGCTTCTGATTTTAATATTGTGATACTGCAATTCCGTTTTATGTATAATCTCTTAATCTTATACATAAAAAATGTATTTTACAGAAAATTTTTTTCTGTTTATAAGCAAGATAAATCGTGCAAAAATAATTATGCGTAAAAATGTAATGGCAAACAATAATGTAATGTGTCGTCGCAATTCGTGATTTTAATCCGTACGAAAAGATTCGCGATCATGCTGATGTATCAAATATACGAGATCTCAAATTCGACGTATCGATAGAAACATCAGAAAATATTGCAGCCACAAAAGCAATTCGCACTCCTTTGGGAGTTGTTGCTGTCGATTTATCACCTGCTTCACCAGTGGCGAGCAAATAAACTCGATCTCTTCCTCTAACGATGCCCAAGTCGATGCTGTCTTCTCTTTCTCTTTCTCTTTTCACTCAGACTTGATTTTTCCGTACAGTACAGAAATTTTTGCTATAGTACTTCCTACCAGATTATTATCATCCGTTGCAGAAAATTACATTAGATCGCATGTCGATCATATCACTTCTCTCTTAAAACAGATAAACGCGAGGCTTTTTTAGCAAAAATTTTTAATAAATGCACCTTGCACAATCTTTAATAATTTTCACACACTGCGCGAATTTCCGCACTCAAGTATTCTATATTTATTTGATTTCTTCTATTTTAAATTACTTCACTTCATTTTTTTATTATCATTGTAGTTCTCGCTTTCATTATTCAATTCTTTTGGATTAAGACTACATCATCTTTATTCTCGTATAATCGAATCACTCACACAGGACGGGAGGAAATTACTGAGGAAAGCTCAAATTTCCTCTTCGACGAGGAAGACGTCCTTTCCCACTTTACGAACGCGTGTTCTTTTCGATTTTTTCAGTGTTCTGCGCCTTCGTCATTTGACGTCGATTGCAAGAGAAAAACGGGGGAAATTTTTTCTATTCCGCATTACCCTTTCTTGCAGTATTTAAAAGCAAGAAACTTCCTTTTCATGGGAAACAGGTCAAATTTCCCCTTCGGTTTATCCTTTCATCCCAGAATCCTCTAATTCGCGAAAAATACAACAGCGATTTAATGATGCGTGAAAGAATTATTATCCCGAACGCAAGACGTTGGCGGCGAACAAAACTTTAGAGTTTCCAAACTCATTTTTTGCTCTTGAAGTACACTTCCCAGGTTTTATACGTATATCCTTATGGTGTCATTAGGTTTTTCAGTGTAAGTTTTTAAGTAATATATAACACACTTTTTTCAATCTTTAATATTCAAATTTTAATTGAATCAAGAATGGCAATTATTAAATTATGCACAAATTATTTTTATGCAGTTATTATTTTTTTATTTATACGCTTATGTCTGACTTTCCTTCGGACGAAGTGAAAGCGGGATGTTACTGCCAGGTGTTACTATAAATGCCTTCCACGTACCTCCGACGGCGGCGTCGCGACGCCAACTGAAGAGCACATTCGATGTTGGAAGTTGGAACCTCCGGTCGCTTTGAAACCGGCGCTATCGGCCACAGGGCCGTACTGTCTGCATAAAAAATCATTGTGAAAATAATTGTGAATAAGTTATTGCTGTCGAAATATTTCTCGATTTCTTCTCTGATTTTTCTTTGTGTTTATTTTACAATTAATTTGCAAAAGATTTATATATTTCTTTTAAAAAATACCAATAGTTTATTCTCTTCAATATTAAAATTTAAAAATAATTAAATACGTAAAAAACATGATGTTCAGTTTATAATAATTATTCTATTGGTAGTTAGGAAAATTTATCATATGCAAAATGAAAAAGTACTGTATTTGTAACTGACAAAATTTACAATGCGACGTTCCTTTCTTGACGTTCCTAACAAAGAACAGAATGTTCCTATGTCCTGAAAACGGTGTCTTGCCATTTCACTCATACCATTGTATCGATTTCGACTAGCTTCCCACTTCAACGATTTTACAAGCATTTTCATGCTAGTTAATATTTCGTTCGGAAGAAATATTCTTTTTTGCAATTTTTAATCAATACAAGTGACATCGTTCTTTCATTTATATATTTAACATAATTGAAAAATATTTTCGAAGTATTCTTAAAGTAGAACGAGTCTTTAGACAGAAAAATTTTTATTATACAAAATTTTAAATTATTTTTATATATTTATCAAAATAATTTGCATTATGCATAATTATAAAAATTCAATACAATTCCATTTAAATTAAAAAGTAGCTGTGAATTAACTAAATATTAAATATTAAATTAGATGTAATCTCCTAAATTATTTTTTAAAATTTTCTATTGTATCTATAAATTTTGTAATAAATTCTATTTATAATTTTATATGTATTTTGTAATCTGAAAAGTATTTGAAGAATCAGAATGACATTTGTAAAATACATATACACATATACACATATACACATATATACGATTTGCATGTAGTTCTGTTCATCAAATTTATATAAAATAGAATGTTATTTAAAATTTAATTTTTTATAAATTAAATATAATACATGTACAATACAAAAGCCATTTTTTGCACTATTATAAATTTCTTTGTAAATGTGAATCACTATTGTTATATTGAAAAAATGTATTGTGAGAGAGAATTGAATTTTTCAGTTTTAACACTCAGGCGATTATTTTTATGCAATTTTTTATTCTACATATTTTATTGTAGAATATATTATTATTAATTAAATTAAAATTAGAAGATATATATATATATATATATAAACGTTGAGAAAGTATTTTTTGAAAATGGACTAGAAATAAATCTTTTGTAAGATCTCACTATAATAATTGGATTAAAAAATTTTTAATCTTTTATATGAATCTTTAATTAAAGCGTTTACTTTTTCAAGGAATTAATAACATAAATTAAATTTGTATCTGGATTTATAATCGATCGGTTGATATATCCTATCGTAATATAATACAACATTACGTGTCTTGCTCGTAATAACATTTGGCGCTCGAAATGATCATTCGAAATGGCCAGTCGTAATCGCTATCAGGTTTGTACTATCATTTATATTCGAGGAAATAGCTACCGGAAGATCAAAACGTTTGCCCACATAGACATATTCCCCAGAGAATCAAGACGAAAATCGGACCAGAGAAAATGATTCACTATGATTTACGATAATCGATGTCATTTCGGGGAAGAAGGTGAGGGAAGCTAATAATGAAGATTTATTCTTAGGAATAAATGACTCATGCAATGAAAAACAAAATGAAAGTATGCTTCCGGATCTTGTTTGAATGTGGATGCTAATTGAATTTTTTTTAATAAAACAATTCTATATCGGAACAATATAATATAATATGGGCGATTCATTCGTTTCATACATCTATCACATGTAAATTGTTTGATATTTTTTTGTTAAAATGGATTTTTTGCGACAAAATTTTAACAAAAATACACTTTATCGTTTAACTACACTTTAATATTACATGTTTAATACACTATACAAATAAATACGGTTGATTAAAAGAAAGACAATTTAGAGAATGCACTTCGCATCGGATTTTCTGTTTACCTCAATGCATATTTCCATTAAAATTTTCGATAGCTGTACGTAAAAACAAATATTTACAAAATATCCCACTTTAATCTCTAAACGAAGCTGAAATTAATTTGTCAACGTAATTTTTTTAATAAAGAAAAAATTTTTACTAATTTTAAACTAGAATTTTTAGTAAAGAAAAATTTTTTTTATTCTTTTACACATATATCTCGAAGTAGAATTTAGTGATTTCGTATTTTATTATTTAAAGACATTATATACAACAGAAATGTACTTTTTTATTATTTTATTTATTATCACTTTTACGTAGAATACATTTCTTCTTTTTGATTTATAAAGTTTTTCCGAATTTGTTGGGTTTCTGTTGCCGTTCTAACTTCTCGATACTTAGGAATGAAAATAAATTCGTCAAAAAAACTGAATTTCTGAAATGTAATGGATAAATGTTGAGTCTATCATTACATTTAGATAAATGTACGGAATGTCTAAAATACATGTATATTTTGAATAAAAATGTTACGAATACCATTAAACATTTATATAACTATGAAATTTAAATACACATATTTGTTATTTTAGCTATGAAAATAGTTACATGCTTCGTTATGCTTATCATAATTTTTAGTTTTATAGTAAAAGTTCGAGACAGAGTATATTTCTATCATAAAAAATAAAACTCTAATGTATTGTTAAAAATAATGCAATAGACATAATGGAATAATGGATATTTAATGGAATAATGGATCTGAAATATTTTCCAGTAATACATAAATATTCATAGTTATGATTATCTCATACTATTATAATAGATACGATATATCACGAGATTATCATCGTTCACATAGAATAAAACGATATTAGAATATACAAGATAAGTAGGAAGTAAATAAGTAAAAAATCAAATCCCTCTTTACTGTATGTCTCTTAAAGGCATGAGCTTTGTATAGCTATTTTGGCTATGCCTTCGCGTCCGATATTGAAGAGTTAAACGATAGTTAAACGAGAAGTAGGGATGAACGTATGTGAAAAAAATAAAAATTTCAGAATATACGAGAGTTTCATGTGCGACGGCAGAAAAATATTAAAGCGTCTGCACTCGATGCATATCTCCACTTCATTCACAGTAGAAATGCGAAACTATAGTCGGACATTTATAAACTCGTGTATACTTTGCCATTCCATGGTGTTTTTTGTTATTTCTACATATATCGCGCTTTTATCGAAGCTTTTATATAGCCATATAATATATATTGCATAATATTGCATGATTATTATTATATTTATTTATAATATAATATCTAAATTTTATTTTATCTGATAGTAGAAGGAAAAATCAATATCAAATCCGCCAGTTTGTAAATTTGAATTCGGCTCCAAACTAAAAGAAATTAGACAAAGAAAATAGCAAAATACAATATATTAAAATTGAAATTGATATTAAGATTTTTCTTTTATTTTGTGATATTAAAATTATCCAACAATCAATTGAGTAATTAAATAATAATTCTTTCGTATTTAAATATTATAAAAATATATTTATATTTTGTGTGACTTGATGATACACGAGCACAAAGGATTAATTCTCGAAATAACGGGTGACTCAAAAAATACGCCTCCGATCATGTCGCGCCAAGCATCAGGACGTCTATTTATAAGTGCATATATTTCCAATGCTTATGCGTCAATTTAATATATTTATCCCAGAATTCAACGTGCAATTATTAGACAATATTTATATAAAAATATATTTCAATTTTATGTCATGTATGTTTTGTGACAAAAAATGCTGAACCGCAAAAGATGAGCTCGAAATAATCGCATTCAGAAGCAACATTGGCAAAAGAAAAAAGTAAAGTGCAGTTGCCTCGGTGATAAAAATAGCAAGTTTTGCTATGTGACACGATTATGCTTCAAAAAGTAAATGGCAGCATTTAAATTTCTTACAACCGTAACTTCGTCTACAAAAGACGATCTTATCTTCTTTATAAAATTACAGTAAATATAAAATATAAAAATCCATGTTAAAGAGAAAAAAATCCAAGATTTTCAAAATTAAAAATTAAAAAATCTTTGTTTTTTACTTCATGTGTAATTTTTCTTCTTCGAAAACGATGCTCTCGGGCATTTATTTAAGTCTGTAAAGTAACATTTCCTTGTTTATTTTTAATTTCTTTCTGCATGAAGAGCAGCAATTATTCATAAAGTGGTCAAATTGTTAATAGTCACAATTTAGCGTGCAAACTTTTATAAAATGTCTGTAAAATTAAATATTTTTGTTTATTTTTAATTTTTTTGCAAGGTAGACAAAAAAATAATAATTTTAGGATAAACTATAGGCAATCAAGTATCATTTGATAAAATAAATCTAATAAAATTCGAATTTTGGAATGCCAAGTTGTGTATATTGTATATATGTAAGATATCAGTTATTTAAAACCGATAAAAAAAATTTTCATCGGTTTCAAATAATGACCATGTTATCTTTCAGTTAAAAATTTTTTATTAACAATTATAATTTTTTTAGTATATTAAAAATAAAAAAAATATTCAATCTCAAGTTATGTAATTTCATAAAAAAATAATAAGAAAAAAATAGATTATAAAACAGAAACGAACACATTAACACCATCTGTTAACAAATCTTATAATTACAACTACACTTTGAAGTTTAGTCACGTGAATTCAGCACCGGTAGTTATTAACACAAAGAAATATAATTAAACAGGAATTATTTCAAATTGTTTTCTATTCGACTTTCTATTATCAACTGATTTAACAAACTTATCAAAATAAAACAATCGCATATGCGCATCTTAAAGAAAAAATAAATAATGTAAAACTACGAGTGCAGAAAGAGTTGAAAGGAGTACATCCAAGGTCTCATGCAATATCAATGATCTCTACGAAAATAAAGAAAAATCTATTCATTCCACTTGCGGATTTCCCGATTTTCATTCTCTTCTTCATCTCGTCAAATCGGAAGTGTATACTCAGTTCATTCTCAGTAGATACAACGCAACGCCATGCGACGCAACCGGAAGAAAGGAGCGGGCCGTGAAAGAGACGCTCCGTGAGTTCAGCATCGCGCCGGGTGCCGCTCGCAGCGTACAGCCAACGCTCCAATCGGCGCATGCGTCACGGCGCGCATGCGTCGCCGCGCAGTTGACCTTGACGAGCGCGAATGGCTGCGTCGACGGCAGGCGCCCGTAAACGCTTCGGAAAGAGTCATCGCCACGGCGGGGAAGGGGGGCTGGAGCGGGGGAGGGGAGGCACGCAGCGCGCGTTCCGTGTCGCCCATTGTTGTCCTCGTCGCGCGTAATGGCCACCGTGAGCATTCGTTAACGCATCGCACGGTACGGTACGTCGCATCCTGGCCTAGCTTGTGTCACGAACAACGCCGCAAGTTTCATCCAGCCGCGTAACATCGCGTTCGACGGTTTTTACGCGATCGCCGCCGCCGCCGAACGAGGCGCGGACGGAGTGCGAGCAAGCGAGCGAGCGAACGAGGAAGCGGGATAGAGCGGGTGAAAGGGAGCGACAGAGAGGAAACGACGTACGCAACGAGGAAAGGAGCGGCGGCGGTCGCGCGTTTCGTACCCACAGTCGCCGCAACCGCCACCGCGCCGCTCTACGCAGCCGACCATGATTTGCGCGGGCCGACGTTGACAAGCGTGTGACTCCGAAGGTGATTGTTCGCGCGCGCTTGGACCGCGTGCTGAAGCTTGCGAGCGCGTGGTTGGGCCAGCTAAGCCAAGCCATACCAATCCAAAATCGAGTCGAGCCGAGCCAAGGCAAGCCGTGTTGAATCGAGGCGAACCGGATGAGCGAGTGAACTCCGATCGTCGCGCGATTTGGATGACGCGACCCAGCGTCTGGAGTCACCGCCGTGAGGAAGCGTCCGTCAGAGCGCTCGCCGAAATCGAACGCCATTGATTTCTCGCGCGGCTCACCAACGGCGCGATAAGAGCGTCGCGCGCGCGGCACGCAACACGGTGGGAAGAACCGTGCGCCCCCCCTCCCCCCCGACCGCTATCCCTCGTAGATGCTGGACGTGAGCCGCGTCGTGTACTACGGCGACGTGCACGCCCGCGCGTATCCGACAAGCGCGCGAGATCGTCTTCGTGGTGCCCGTCGCGCGGTAGTTTGCGCCGCCACTGCCGCTGCCGCCGTCGTCGTCGCCGTCATGGCAACTAGAGGATCGTCGGTTACCGCTCGGCAGCCGGACTATTAACCCCGCGGCTATTGCACGTGAGTATGTTTATTGCGCGCTCGTCCGCCTGTTCCGTCTTTTTCTTGGCGCGCGCGCGCGAAACGCTAGCAAAGCTGGCATCGCACTTTTTTTCCCCCGTTCCATCCGTCGCGCCTGAACGCATCTCTCATCACCTTTGCCATACTTTCGGCTAGGGTGTTCCTCTTCTCGTCATTATCGTAAAAAAAAAAAAACTTGTCAGTTGCTTCTCGCATACCTCGCACGTTCTCGCTTAAGCCGACTGTTTATAACGACCGCCTATTGATTGTGCAGGGTCAAAGGCAATACATCAATGGCCCTAGAATCAAATGGCAACAACGTGGTGTGGTTGAACGCAACCCGTCCTGATCAAATACAGCAGGTATGCGTCGCGCGTGAGCAACTTAAGACGAGCGAGGGAGCGTGTATGTTTGCGAACAATGACCGAATGCTGATCTCATTTTCAAGTATTCAGTATGTGACATGTGACTTGTGTTTAAAACGCTAAGATATAATACAACTTTTATATTAATACATCTGATGTTACAATTCCTCACGAGTCTTTCTGATCAACAGAGTCAATCGATTGAGCAGCCGTTGAAGTGTTCCATGTTTACTCAAACGGAACAGACTAACAGTTTTACTCAGACGGACCAGAGCAATTCGAGTTACGGAGATCAGAGACAGGTTTGTCTGTTATTTTTCTAATAAATGATATAAAATCAAGACTTGAGTTCCTCTTTAATTATGTCGAATGATATCTTTTTACAGCAACAAACAGCCATGTTTGACCCACAGCAAATTCAGCAGCAACAAGCTGCTGCGCAGGGTCAACAGTCGCAACAGCAACAGACCCAGCAGATGTATGTCACGTCAGACAAAAAGGAGGACAAGTCTCAGCAGCAGCAACAGACCACGACTGCCGAGTTTCCTCCTTCTTTCTACTACAATGTCAACATGCTGCAGAAGGTTCAAACAAACGCGGTGAGCACAATCAGTGCAATCACCGACGACAAGGGTTGTTACCGTTTCGATGTTCAACCTGTCGGTTATAATACATTACTAAACCAGATGAGCATTGCTGCTGCTGCCACCAATGCGACCTTCAAGTGTGACATTTGTGGATTGGTCTTCGGCCATGTGAGCTTGCTACAGCATCACAAACGGATTCATTCCACAACACCCAGCAATCTGCAGCAACAGCCACAACAGATCGTCGTACAAACACCAACAACAGTGACTGTCGCCACAACGCCGGAACGACCGTATACCTGTGACGTTTGTGGAGCGTGTTTTGCATTACCGGGGGAGTTAAAAAGTCACAAAACAAACATGCATCAGAAACCTAAGGTGCAAATTTGTGAGGATTGTGGCAGTGAGGATCCATGCGAACATCATCCGACTAAAGTTAAAAAGAGTATGTTCTTAGTAATTAATTCTTAACTGTAGTCAGTGTCTATCGTCAGTACCATTAATTTTAATGGTGATGCAAAAGAGTTTAAATATCTTACTACAAATTTTTTATATTAGGAATTATAAATCTACATAATCCATTGTTTAATTTATATTGATGTCAGATTTACGATTATTTGCGGATTTTGCTTTAGCTAAAATATCTCACTGCGATATCATCCGTAGTTGGATATACAAAATTTACTGCTGAACAAAATAGAGATATGTATTCATCTGTGTAGCTATCAAACCTGGTCATCATCCTGTAAAACGAAGGGGAGTCACCAGTGTTACTAAGTGTCACAAATGTAATGGCACAGGGATTATTTTTATTGGTAAGCATCATTTGCTAATTTTCGGTTGCTAACTGGATGTAATTTAATACCGTTGATAAAAAAGATGTTGCTGATAAAGCATTTTAAAATCTCGAATTCTCGTTTTCGTTTTTATATTGATACAAATGTTATAAAGGATTGCATGCGCGGTACTTTATCCTTATCAGCAGCATTTTATTCAGATATTTGGTCATCTCTTTCCCTTCATACCTTTCATTGCTATCATGATCGTACATCGGGTGATGTATGGTAGGTAAACACGACGAAAAACTAGATTCCGGAATCAGTTCCCTCGCAAAGTGTGGCGGCTGCAAGGCTACAGGCCGCATCGTCATAGGAAGTAAGTCGGATATAATTATCGTCAACAGAGTATGAAATCTGTTTTTGCGACTAGTATGTCTGAGTAATATCGTGTCTGCCTTGGATGGTGACAGTTCAGATTTATTCTCCGCGATGAATTTGATATTTGCACAGTTTTGATGCTTGAATCAATAGCGCGCTGATGATTTTTATAATATAGAATTTTATTATAAAAAATATATGTAAAAATATATGATGAATTAGAGAGAACTTTACATCGATCACAAAGTTTCATGGGCTCTCCTAAACTCGATGTTTAAAAAAATATCAATTTAAATCAATTAACTTTTTTATTACAATATTAACATATTATTAACAAACGTATTTATTAAAAATACTCAACGAGATTTTGAGTTTTTTCAATAATTACATCAAATGTTTAATCAAATAATCAATAAATTTAAATCGATATCCTTGAACATTGAGTTTAATATTACTCGTTTTTATTTAACGTTACTTCATTTATGCTTGCATGCATTTTTTTGTAGATAAAATATTTCTTACATGTTTCTATTATTTTATTTTGTTGTATTTTATTTTGTTATTGTTTAATACTCTTGCTATCTCAAATTTCACAAAGTGATTGTAATGATTTTGTTTTGCTGTTATATTTATTTATTTATTTTTTTTTTTTTTTTTTTTTCGTAGAACTGTCGACATCTAAATTTAAGGACAATGACACAGAATAAAAATCTCCCCTAAGGGACAGTTTTATAAATTTAAACCATCAAATTTTAATGTTTTCTATATAAGATAAACTATTATTAAATTTCCGTTCAACCATTTACAATTCTTTCACTTTATTTCGCGATATAGTTCATTGGAGATGATTTCACCATTTCAACTCATAGATTGAATTATGTAATAAAGACAAAACCGCAAAGTTTCATATTGCTTGTGGCGTTCAGATTTTCTTAGTGCACTAACTTTTATAACAACCTGCATGAACAGATTGTTTCATATGATAATCGTTACATTTAATCATTATTATTCATTTCGTAATTTCATATTTCATATCTCTTTTTCTTGATATAAGAACAAAAAGAGTAAACATTAATATTATAAAGCAAACTTATCACAATCAATTCGTTGATTTTCTTCGCGAAACAACTTCGAGCTTACCACTTTTGTAGAACTGGCCCTTTGAGGAAAACTAAAGCCTTGTTTATGCTTTCGATTTCAGGTGGCAAACAAAACAGTCAAAATCAAGCGGAAAAACCATTTCATTGTAACGTTTGTGATGGTACATTTTCTCGATATTCTTCGCTCTGGTCCCATAAAAGACTCCATTCGGGAGATAAACCATTTAAATGTGATGTCTGTGGTTTAGCCTTTGCAAAGGGTAAGTAAACTATTAAATCATATAAGATACTGGCTCGTAAGATAATGGCTCGCAGTCGTCTCTACATATATATATATATATATATATAATTAATGATTATATAACCTTTTTTCTAATACTCATTCTTTATTTTTTCCCGTTAGCTGCCTATCTGAAGAATCATGGAAGAGTTCATACCGGTAGAAAAGCCATTCAAGTGCAACGTTTGTGGCATGCAATTTTCGCAAAGCCCGCACTTGAAGAATCATGAACGAATTCATTCCGGTGAGCGACCCTATCAGTGTGAGGTTTGCGAAAAAACGTTTGCCAGACACTCGACGCTCTGGAATCACAGAAGAATTCACACCGGTGAGAAACCGTATAGGTGTAACATCTGTGGTTCCGCTTTCAATCAAGCCACGCATCTCAAGAACCATGCGAAAGTTCACACTGGTGAAAAGCCACATAGGTAACTTCGACATTCAAAGATCCAGTTATCAAACCGCATTTATATTTCCACATATACGAAATTTTTGCGTTTTTCAGGTGCGATATATGCGAGATCGGCTTTTCCGATCGTTTCGCGCTAAAACGTCACCGTGCGATCCATGAGAAATATGGCCAAACGGCGCGGAATCAGAACACGAACAATGCAACTAACGCACAGCAAGCTAACGCGAGTAGTCAGCAGCAACAATCGCAGCAGCAGCAGCCGCCGCAGCAGGCACAGCAAGGTCAGGTCGTGGTCGTGAATGCGACCACTCCCGTCACCGTCAGCCAAGGGCAAGGCCAAGTTATACTCGACGAGGTCTACAAGTGTCAGGTGGCCTTCCCAGAGCCTAAATGATTCAGCTAGAGAATACCTTTCAGAAGCTGGTAAAGAGGTTAACTTTTTTAACCTTCCTTTTTTAATATTAATCTCGAGAAAAACGAAATTCATGGATATGATCTAAAGAATGTAGATTTTACTCTAAAAGAGCCAAGTGAATCCTGCATGAGTGACTGAACAGCGCATCTCTTTCTTTTATGTGTGTGTATGTGTGCGGCCACTTGAATCCTGTGGAAGATTATGATGACTGTCGATAGTTTGAATTTAGATATGGTTAAAAATTTAAAAAAAAACGAAAAACATGGACGAAAAGACTCTGCAAAGTTACGCGAGTGAGAAATTTCGTGGAATATATCTTCAGAAGTTCAATTCATAAGATATAATTGGACGATTTTTAACCGCCAAAATCAACGAAGTCTCTTTGCGAAATAATAGAGAAATATGTCTACCTTTATATTTTGCCATTCGGAAAAGTGAAAGAACAATTGAACGTATTGCAGTTTCATATATATTAGTTTTCTAAAATAACACGAAAATTATAATTGTAATCCTATCATTCTTTATTACATATGTGTAATAATCGTTAATTTGTCCACGAGAACAAAATTGCTAAGCGTCTTGCCAATATTTCATGATTTCATGAATGGCATTGTGCAATAGTTCCGACAAATTTTGCGATTAGCCCGACGACGAAGTGTACTTTCGAATGATTGTAGCAACGGAGGATTGCGACAGCGTGTACTTTGATGTTGAAAAGCAAGTATAAGGTGATGAGTATTTTTCTTTTTTCTTTTGATAGCTCGTTTAAAATATATATTGAGAAACGCTCAAACCTCGGCCCTACTGATTTATCTCGTTATCAGCATGAGGATCGTTTAACATTTAATGTTTGTGGAAACAACGATCTAAAATATTTTATTTAATTTCGACTGCATGAATTATTTATCTGACAAATCACGAACGTATGAACATTAGGCGGCAAGCAGAGAATTTTGTATGACGCGCAAAAAGTTTTGTACTTGCGAATAGCGTGGAACGGAACGACATCGCGATTTGTGCGAGCCCTCTTCCGTCCAGTCATTCGAGATCAGAAAGCATCGCATCACTAGGACGATGACAACGATCATGATGAAAAAGCGGCGAAAGAGTAGTGCGGCATACCTATATAACTCGTTGGGGCTGCAATAATAATAGTAAATATCGACGGGCAAACCGTTTTATAATTTTAAGAGGCCGCGAACTATATGAATATATTATAATAATAAATAGTTGATAGTTTGTAATGATAAATAGCCGAGCTAGATTATACATACATATAAATATATTATATATATATATACATTAATTTTTATATCCCCACTTGTTAAAGCGATCCCGCACCGTCGCTACTTTTAAGTATCAAGGATCACCAAACGAATAGATTGTACATTGATAGCTCCATACATTCATGAGAGATTGGTGACTTGTGTGCTATACAGTATCTCACTTTCAAAGTTATTATTTGGATACCCTCTTGAAATTACTTTCATAATTTATAACACGAACATTTTCTTTAACATATTATTTAATTATTTTTGCATTTTTATTCACGAACTCTGAGTTGTTATCAGATAAGGCACTCTCTCTCTTTTGTATAATTTTGAAAGATTTTGTAATATCAATTGCAAAAAAGATAGACACGAATGACTTGAGGGTGTCCTAAATAATTCTTTTTATACGAAATTAATATCATGTTCACGGAGAGTATTATGAGACGATCAGTTTACATGATTGTCGATAAATTCAACTTTAACATGGAATTCGGAATTGGGGATATTTCTTTGTTTTACTAATTAACTTGTAAAATAAAGGTACGCAATTACATGATTTTACTTTTATATAATAGTAATACCTGTTACAGTATTTTCGATTAGACTAGAAACTGTATGCTGGATTTCCTATTTTCGTTTTTGGTTTTTCGGGATTAGAATAGAGTTATCTAAGCTGTGACTCACGAGCAATTAATTTTATAGCTCATTTATCACTACTCTATGTTGTGCGTTTATACTTTTTGTAAAGTTTATTAAGAATGACAGATAGTTTTATTACATAAACAAGCTGAAATAAACTTGAATAAACATAGTCAAAGATGGAGAAACTTGTAGTGATATATGCGCTCAAAATCGAATTATCGAGAATCACAGATTAGATATATCCAAGTTAAAATATGAATCATAGTCAGCACATAAAGCAGCATCGTAAGTTTTACCATGGAACGGCATATTTTGTTCTTTCTTTCTATGTTGCAAAACAAGAAAAAAAAGATTATCTGTTTCAAAATCGATGCATTAATTCTCTATTCTGATTATGATCACATGTAAAAAAGAATAAAGATAATCTTTGATTCTAACATTTAGTATATTTTGCACAGCAGTCACTTTTTTTTGTTTTAAACTTTTAATTCAGAGAGAATCCATTCTAAAAAATAGTTTTATTGAAGCAAGAAAGTCAGTATTCTGTATATTTGTTAGAGTAGACGCAGATAATTTGATCATTTGAGACACGGATAGTACTGTTATAGTTATCACGCTTCTTTTCAAAGTGTTCACACGAGCAACGAATATAAAGTCAAGATTATTTTCAAAATAATTCTGAATAAATTTCGTTGATATTAATCGAATTATTTTAACGGAATGTAATTACTTATTTTTGTATATATTCTTTTTGAAAAACTTTAATAGTAGACATTTATACACGTTTATTAAAACGTGAAAAATTCGTTGCTCTTTCGTTGCACATCCATCCTCTCCCGCGAATCATTTATAATGTTAAAAACAGTAATAGGATGACAATAAAGCGATTTTCGTACATTTCAATCATGTCCTGTCGTCTTATAAGATTAGGGGAAAGTGTGCAGTGTCATCATATGATACACGCTTAACAGTCGAATTAAGCGCAGAAATAATTTTTTAAAGAACCTCCAATCTTCGTGATTCTGTTATCCGATTAGCGAAAGAAATTATTTTATTCCGTTTATTCCGTCATTTGCTTTTATAATCAAAAACTTATTGAATAGTTTTATAAAAATTGACATTGTAGATATTAATCTTTTACCTCATTTCATCGATCTATCTTATCGATCTTTCCTTATTCTTTCTCAAATAACTCTTGGAAATTCTCCTTCAGGTATGAAATATATTGAACGTGTTACGTTTGTGGTATATTAATATGTAAATAATATGAATATGAAATTTGTCTTTCCATTTTTATTGTGTTGTAGAAATTTTGACTGTGACCGATCATCGATGGCTGAACAGTTATATCTACATTCATTCGCAGATACAAATACAAAACGTGAAAAATATGATTAAAAATATTGAAAATTTGAAAATCGAATAGGAGGGCTCTAATCATCATCGCGGAATAAAATTATGTAAAAGGAAGAAACTAATAAGAATTTCTCACGACACGATTAACAGCGATAATGTAAACAATGCTCTCATCATGATGTCTTCAATTAATATTCACATAAAACCTATTTTTTTTGGGAGGGGGGGAAATCTCTATTTTGATTACATCGCTAACTCTATCGAAACTGTGATTTGATGGTCAAATTTTACGATAGTACACGGCTTAAACAAGCGTCCTCATCAAAACTTAAGACAAATACTCTTAAAGCTGTTCACGAGCGAATACTTTGCGTTAACGAGCGCGCAAACAAAATCCTGTTTTCGAAGATACTTTTGTATACTTATATCTGCGTCGAGAAAACTCCTACTTAACGAACTGAGAATTGTGGAAATAACCAGAGCAAAGCGTATGAATTGTAATTAAAAATTGTTAGTCGCGTCTGAATGATTCTAAGTAGCTTGTCGAGAATTGCTGCAGTAGATACGGCGCTTTTGTCTTAGAATTGTTACATTATTTTGTTATCACATAACCCGTGTAAAATATTTTTTTGCAAACGATCTATTTTTCCAATAGCTTTTAATTCGCGCCTTCATAATTAGGATTGTGCGAGGCGGTGGAATGATTCTTGCAATCCGCGAAGAGAAAAGCAACTTTGAGCGGTGTGTCTTCCCGCAGCAATTCCATTTTCCGAAATGATATTTTTCGTAGGCGAAAAATTCAGAGCTTCCGTTTGGAATCAAAATTGTTTGGAAGCGTCTTCCTTAGTCTCGGTATATTCTGATTTAATGATTTCGCGATTTTGTTGTACATACGTTCATGAAACGAAGACCCATATCCGAGAGATTTTGAAAATTTATTTCATTTCATCGCTATTCTCAAGCATTCGTATCGAGTGTAATCTTTAAGAGCGTATCAGATGAACTCGTGATTCGCCGAGGATATGACTATAATTTTGTACTGTTAAGGGTCGAGGTTTCGGAGCGGTGATCACGAATGCCGTGTTTCTCTGAATTACAACGTAAACTTGCGTTCCCGAAAAAGTACGTTTCGAAAATCTCCGAAATTCCTTCGGACACACATCCGACCCTTCCAGCGTGGAACCCTCAAAGGCCTGAGTATGTCGTACGTTTTGCGCTTACTATAATTTTGTATTTACGCGGAGTAGAGCGTTAAAGAGAGCGCGCGTTTACCCACGTCATACTTGTATATTTCCATTTGCTGAAGCGTACTATTTTTTTAATTGTAGCATCTGCCCTATATATTCGATTCGATGTAATTAACGATCATTTTAACGCAATTCATCATGTGCGAATGAAGGAGATCACCATGTGCAGATTGATTTGTCACGCCTCGCTGGATACGATATATATGTGTACATATATATATATATTTATACACATTAATATATATATATATATATATGTATATATATGTGTGTGTATATATATCGTAATAATATATCGGTATGATAGTTATAGTAGTGATATTTTTTATAATAAAACACGTTCCTAATCAATTATCTGTTCTTCATATGTCGTACGATTAAGCGTAACGAGTATAAAGATGATATTCTAATGCCGAATATCGTTACCTGTGAGCGACGAAATGTAAATTAAAATTAAACGGCCTCTCGTAACGTAAGGAAGATTAAGGAGCCTTTGGAAGAGAAGTTTGCAATTTTCTAAGCTAATGTACGGCGCGTCATCGCGCAAATACGACGACACGTGTGGATTTAACTTAACTCATCCTCTCCGAGAAGCATTTTGATAATTGATTGATTGTAAAAAGAAAAAACAGAAAGCAAACAGGAAGATAGAAAGAACTATCGTGATACCACATTCTCACGAAGTAGTATGGAAAGGAAAAATATTGTTAGTTTCATTAGAATGCCATCGCTACGACTACCCTGTGTCGATATCTTTTACCATTAGTTTTACGGGATACGTCTTCTTTTCAACCCCCGCCTTCACTCGGATTGGATTTATTCAAATTCGAATTCAATTTTATATCGCGTAAAACTGTCGATGTACGTGAAAGAATGTATAATGCGTTACTTGGAATGTAAATTTAAAATCGTCCCATTATCATGCTCCATTTCTATTTCTGCCTCTTTCTTTAAAATTCGCATTTCCCACTTACTGATTTTTCAGTTCATAGGTGAAAAGCATCATTTTTCTTACCATATCATCCGCTTGTCATTCGCGAATGCACTGGAACTTGGCGTACTCTTTTCTTTCAGAATATGATCGAAATAAGTGAATTAAAAAACAATATTTATTGCGATTATTCAGAACTTATTTTAATGTACAATGTGCATCAAAAAAAATGTAGAAAATAAAATAAACTTAGACGAAGTTTAACTTAGATATAAAAGCTAATTAGAGCTTAGTTAATTTTATTTTCAGAATACTTTTGAGAGAGAGAGAAACAAAAGACCAATCTGAATAATCGCTTAAAAAATTAGGATATCTCATCCGCATATACCTTTTCGAGATTTAGGAAATTTTTCCAGACGATTAATATTCGAAGTCTGAAAATAGATTCCGGATAATGAGTCCGCTGCAAGTCATGAGTGCAAGGTAGCCGTTTGTCACCGAGAAACTCGTTCGTGTACACGCTATTTTACATGTGAGGAGAAGAGGGGAGGGAGAAGAAGAAGTTGTAGGAGGGACTTTTGTCACTTTTAGATTAGTCTGCTGTCAATATACCTAGAACGATAATTTTGAATGTAACGTGTATCATATTTGACTATCGCTTAGATAACGTGCAAACCGTACCGAATAAAGGAAACTAGCGCACGATTATATCAGACCTTAGGTGATAATAAATGATGTCCAGTGTGGACATTTTCATTTTTCAACGGGCTCTGGGTGACCTTTATTTTCGTCATGTGGATGCGAGCGAGCGTGCGTGCGTGTGTGTAAATGCGTGTGCGTGCGTCAAGTGCGTGCCAAGAGAGAACATACGTGTTATTTTATACATTTGATTATAATGAAGAGATAAAACTTTGTAGATTCCGAAAGGCCACAATAACCATTTGCAAAACTTATCATTTCGTTACCAAATCCGATTTTTATCGAGTTTCCATACGACGTTAATGAAATTATGAATTATCGATTTTTTCTTTCGCAATTGATTTTCTTATACATTTGCATCACGCAAATATCCCTAGAGTTATAGAGTTATCAAGAAATATTTTCCTCAATTCCTTGATCGACATCCTTTTAGTAAAAATATCAGAGCGAGAGAAACCTTGGTATATTTCTTTATTTTCAACACCAATTTTTACAGAAAATATAAGGAATCTTTGTTAAAATCAAAAGTGATGAAAATTAAAGTCTCAATTTAGGTTATTCAACCTCTTTTCTAAATTTTTATTGATTCTATACATTTCATTTCTTTTACAATTTTTTTTATGAATTCAAAACATGCTTTATTGAGTCTTTAATAAAGTATCAATACGACTCAAATCTAAACAAGAAAGAAATGTTAATTAACACTTCCAATTTTTAGAATAAAAAAATAAGTTAAATCAAAATTAAAATTAATCTATATTAATAGAAATAGACATCCATAACTCGAGGGAAAATTCCAGTTACCGTGAATGTTTTGCCTGATACGATCACAATTGATTGGTCATGCGACCTCATGCGCGTGTCGCGTGAAGTAAGCAGCAAAACTCGAGCGGCGAGCGAGTCATCCAATCACAGACGGGGATGTCAGGCGACCACTTTGAAGCGGGCCGCGATTGGTCGCTCCGCTAGCTGGTGCTGCGTGCGCCATCGGCTCGACTGTCATGGCGTCGTCGCGAGTGTCAGCGTAAGCCGTGCCACGGTGAAGGTCTGCGTCGTGGGTGCTTCAGTTGAATTTCCCGGATGTGCCGCGATGATCACCGCGACATTCGTCCAATTGTCACCTAAAATTGCACAATTGTAAATGGAAACGAGTGAAACAAAGGTAACTGCAAATTGGAGATTTCATGATAAGAAGTCTCTCTCTCCCCCCTCCTCCCCTCTCCTTCTCTGTTGCGTGTTATTTCTTAGATCCTGGTTTGACCTCGCGATACTTTGGCCGAATTGACAGTGATAACCGTGATTGCAAATCAACGACGAGATTCGGCCTCGTCAATGAAATGTATGTCACACCATCTCGCGATCCATTAATCCGCTGTTGACGCCGGCGTGGTACCGAAATGAAATTTCCGTGTCACAGACACGCGAACATGATCCCTATTCGCTACTCCGGTCACTCGTGACGATGAAAACGCGACTGTCGTTATGTATAAGGCGCGTTTCTCCGCTATGAAACCTTGAAAGTTCTGACAGTCGATCATTATCATAATTGTCGATACAATTCCAGTCATTCTGACGTAACGTACGAAAGATGTTTTGTATGTTAGATAAGAAATAGAAATTAAGGATAGAAGGATGATACTTTACAGTATTTCTTTTTTCAGAAGTTGATTTATTTATTTGAAAGTAATTAATTCGAGGTAACTTCCAAATTACTAATTTGAGCAACTGTTGGTGCGAAATTAAGAAACTTGATGTTTTCCATTGAAATGAATAACTATATTCTGATGACTGGATTGATCAATATTCTAATTTATTAAAAATAATACATCCAATGCATCTGCAAATGATATTTTTCTCGATAAGTCACTATTTACATAATATCTGCATTTAATTCAGTTTGTGAACGGATAGATCATTTTCTTGCTATCGTCTGGATGTGTCTGCACAGTGGATCTCTGCATTGCCCGATGATGATTGATTATGCGGCACCACAGCCGCATAGTCCAGAAGTACAATAATTCTATGAATGATAGAAAACTGAAGCCCATGAAGAGGCCCAGTAAGCCTCCTGTACTCGCTGTAAATTGCATTCATATTTCTCTTTTTTCTCCCTTTTTCAATAATAATTAATTTCAATAGTTGTAAAAGTCGGATACCTACACAGAAATTCGGTGAATCCAAAGAGCTCATTCTTTATGTGTTTCGTGAATTGGGAATCTACGAAGAACAGATGAACTACTGCCATATTTTCCCTATGTCCAAAAATTATAAGATATAAATTACGTAAGAAAAGGAAATGTCAATATAAATATTTATTAATTTTAATTCGATTTAATTTGGTCTTTATCTTTTTTAATTCTTAGAACTAAAAAAATAAAAAATAAGTTAAACCGAGATTAAAGTTGGTGTACGTTGAAAAACGGATATATGATTTATTTATAAAGAGCATGTGAATATGCAATTGTGGCAAGAGCTCGACGTGACGCGAATAACGTCCAAGATATCCAAATAGATCCAATCTTAATTTAACAATAAATTTTTCTTTACAATTTTTTGTATTATGAAAAGTATCATCGATAGTAATCAACACACATTTTTAATAATCAATGTTAAGTTTATACTTAAATCGTAGCATGAAAATTAGCAGGTTCTATTTGAGTGTCTTTTTCCGGGACACCTTGTATTCTGAGGCCTGAACATCAACCTGTTGCACTCCTTTTATCGCATCAATAGGCACCTGCCACGATAAGTTTAGCTTACATAAAGTCAGATTTAATTACGTGAAATAATTCATGTTCTTCTTCACGTATCGTTTAGCAGTTTGGAAAGTCGGTATCAGTTTATTCTGTGAGAGTTCAATCCTGTAATTGATCTCGAAGCATCCTGGCCAACAATTGCAGCTTGGTCTATAGAAAATGAAAGCTCATGACTAATTGTGGTATGTCCTTTTTTCTCTTGCTAGAAAAAAATAAAACTCCAAGAGTGGACTCACATTTTTGTAACATTGGAATTCGTTAAATCCTCATCGTAAAGCTTGACTTCCATGGCTCGTCTGGCACGTTTGGCGCATGGATCATCTTTTTTACCGCAGATCGGTGTGTTTGACGATTCTACAATAATATTGTGGCGGTAGGTGAACAAAGAAATTCAATTTTATCAAGTTAAGAAGAAATCCAGTAAAATCTCATTATGTCAGCATCATCAATTCGATATATTAACAATGTTACAGATGTTTTAACGATAATATTGTCTTTGACTTTAGAATAGAATAGAGAAAAATTTCAAGAAGCATAAAGATCAGCTGATTGATTTCTTAAATTCAATTAAAAGATTTTCTTCTCCAATAATATTTCAGAATAATTTTTTAATTAATAATGTAAATAATGTATTTTTTATGTCAGATGATCCATTCAATATCTAATAAATTTGTTAAGAATAAATTGAAATTAGTATAGTAAGATCGGAAATCAATGATAATTACTTGGCATGTAGTGCTGCACGCACTCGCAAAGCTGTTGCGTGAAATTCGCCTCACACTCCAAAATACAGTTCCTCTGTGTATACGTTCGATAATAACGTAGCTTTCTCTCGGATGTGAAGAAGCACTTCCGCTTCCTCTGCGGTATGGAGATTATCGATGGATTAGCAGTTGATATCCGTGGCCTTATGATCACCCGAGTCTCTTCACCCGGTGTGATCGAGAACGAGAAGTCGGCGACTTTTGGTGTCTCCACAGGATTGTGGAGCAGCATCTTCGAAGTCGTGATTGTAATCATTATTGTTCCATCGGGAATTAACATTATATTATTATAAAAATCATTCTACAGAATTAATCAATTAGTCTGAGAAAACAATTCAAGAATCTAAATTTTAACAAGAAAAGAATTCTTATATTTTCTATTAGTTATCTATTAGTTATCTTAAGTGGATATTTCCGAAAATTTTTATTATTTAATAAGGTCTCGACAAGAAAATAAAAAAAAAGTTTTCATAAGACGTACTTTGAAGCCTGCACCAGCAGTTGTTGAACAGTAATATTCATCCATATCAACATCAAGAACCAAAGTCAAACCGTAAAGCAATCCAGCACCATATGGTCTCCATGGTATAACATCCGATGGCATACTCGCATTGTATCCCCTTTCAGCATTCCAATCTACACTTTCAGATGGATACGAAATATTCAGATCGGGCCATTCGAGTCTGAAACATCGTTTTAGTAGAAATTTGTATTAAATTTGACATGTTTTTCGCATTTTTGCACAAGTTTAATCTATCGTATCTTATGAAATTGATATTTCTTATTATAATCTTCACTCACGCATTATAGAAGAGATGTTTCTTGTTCACCGAATTGAAATTGCAACAAATACCCTCGTCGGTCATAGTAGGATTAAAAATTCTCTCACATTCAGTCTGATTCCCGTGCCAAAGACAATAATATAGCATGTCTGTGCATGGCTGGGATACCTGAATACAGAAATAAGAAATCAGAATAAAAGTATTAAGATCTCAATCATGAGACTAACGTGACGTTTCTCAAAACAGTCATTTTAATTAATTTTTTTCGATATCAAAATCGATGAACAAAATGATGCAACTTACGTTGATCATAAATCGCAGCATCTTATTAAAATCTATAGTCTGATGATCGTCATAAGTTATATTATTTTCCGAATTGCAAATGTCATCCATCAATAATTTTTCCAAATCATCAGATCTAATAAAAAATATTCAAAAGTTATTTATATATATATTTATGTATTAATTATATTTATATATATATTTATTTATATATATTTATTTATATATTTATATATTAATTATATTTTAACAATGATATTTATAATTTATTATATAATTGCTAATTATTATTAGGGCAATATAGAAGAAATTAGAATAAAAGTGTTAATTAATAGTTATGTTAATAGCTAATATAATCTAATGCACACTTTACCCGCGCTCGATCCGTTTTGCCTCAGACTTCTTGACTTTATTCATATTACATATAGTTACGGAGGGAAACGGAAATTCATTGAGAGGAACGGGCTCGGGGCTCAAAGCAATAATGATGGGAGCTCCGTTCCATTTCTGATAAAGATAACAAATATAATATATCGCCACTGTCAGCGCGGAGGTGAACGTGATCATCCAAAATACTCTGCAAGAATTATACGCGTTCTGCGTTATCATCCCTATCCTAAAATCGTATAGGGCAAATACAACTAACGATACATTTATATATTAATTAAAAACTTTATGTAGCATAATTTAATTTTTTGTACGTAACAACACGCGTAAGTGTAATTAAATTTGTATTATGTGTACATGAAAAGTAATAATTTCTTTAATTTTATTATATTGAAAATTGTGTCTCTTCCTTTGTAATGATAATTGGAAAATTATTTTAAGTTTGTTTAGCGAAATTCTAGATTCAAAATTAACTGATCAAAAAATTGAAAAAATTTCCTATTGCGTTTTTTTAGATTTTTCTTTGAAAAAAATTCTTATACCTTTCTACAGTGGATAAATCCGAGTTACCAACGTAACGCAAACCGTGGAGACTGCTATTCGAACAATATTCCTTGGCAATATCGCCTATTTTTGCCAATTTTTTATGCTTTTTCCCGATCTTCGATCTAAAAGAATTACAATAGTTCAGATATATTTCGTATAACTTTAATTGATTAAAAAAATCTTTACCTTTCAGCTTTCTCATTCTCTCGATCGCTACTTTTATTCATCCCCAACGACTTCATACTCAAGTCGTTTTTAGGGAACAAATTATTGTATCTCGATCTTAAGGTGAAATCTTGCGAGCGATACATATCCTATATATTGAGATTCTTATTTTTATTCATATGACACGCATCTCATTTTTCGATTGATAGCATATTCAAGATTGGGTAATAACTAAATAATTAAAAGTTAAGTAATAAAATTTATCATTAACTTTTAATTAACTTAATTAACTTTTAATTTAACTTAATTAATTTCAAATAGATTAATATTTGGCTTAACTAGTTATTTTTTAAAACATGTTAACTTTAACTTTTGTTTAAGTTAAAATTTTTTTCCATATTGTACTTTTTGTGTTTAAATAATTACTGTAATTGTTTAAAGTAATTATGATATTTTAGTCTAACTATTTTAGTAAATAATATTTTTTAAATTAACTTTTGAATTAATCCAATTTTGACGTAACTTTTAATTAAGTTAATTTTCTGTTCATGTAACATAATTAAATTAATTTATAAGCCATTTAACTTTGACTTAATTTAAAAAAGAAGTTAAAAAAGAAAATAATTTACCCAATCTTGCACATACTTTTCGCCGAAAACAAGAATTTTTTACATATTATATTACATTAATCCTACCTTCGTGTGATCGTAGGTCGTGTCGAATCCCTCCAGTCGTTGGGGTGGCTTGTAAGGATTTTGCAAGTGCACGGTGTTGATGGAGTACGACGGGGTGACGGTGCTGTCTTTCAGATAATCAGGCAGCGTTCTATCAGCGGTATTATAATAATTCTGACTCCCGACATCCCTGGGATTGCGATTGTAGATCCGCGACGGCATCGTGGACGCATCAAATAGTCTCATATGAGCGAGATCAGATGTACGATCGACGTTTGAATTGACGTGTGTTAAAATCTGCGCGTCGTTCCATGGGTTGAAGGTTGGCCTTTTTCTCTCTCGCTCCGAAAATGACGATTTCTCCATTTCATAGTCATTATCTCTTTCTCTTTTAACTCATTGCGATCTCGTGATTCGCTCGACGATTTTATTTTTTCTCGGTGGAGTGCCTCGTTAAATCACTTTATGATAAATTTGAAAGGAAAAAGAATATTGCTTATATTCACGTTTCAATTCTCTCGCAAAATTACGCATCAACGATTTTTTGTCGTGTCCTTATCAGAGAAATTTGTCCTGTGGAGTAAGTTTGATAATTAACAAGAACATCCCCTTCTGATTGTTACTGAATAAACGATGTTAATTTCGATTCTGGAATCTTCTTCCTCAATTAGTATATTAATCCTTATGTTAATTAATTAGCATTATTCATTATAAACAATTCTTTCTAGTGCAAAGAGCAAGCCGCTTATCCCGAGTTTCAGCGGATAATTTTGTTGCCTGATGGGGAAAAAGTTTCAGTTGTGTCGCGAGACTTTTTCAAACTACCCCCCAAGACGGTCGACAGCTGACTGAAAAGTAACAATAGCGGCGAGCATCCTTTCAACTTTGGCGATATAATGCTCACAGGCTTTTGTGCTCGTGTGCGTGCACGTGCTCATGATCGTCCAGATAAATGAACATTGTTGTTATTTCAACGTTCTTGTACTAACAAGACGCAAGCAGACAGGCATAAATCGGCCGATCGCGGTATCAAATTATGTCCTCCCACTTCTTACAAAGGAGTAATCGGTCTTAATTCTAATAACAGACTTGACCGATCTTCGAAGATCTAAATTTGATTTTCCTGTTTTTTATTTCTTTCAGGAAAATTTTCCGACGTCTTGCCGTTTTCTCGATGCCGTAATTTTATTTGGAAATTCCGATGTTCACTTCCAGATGAAGTACGACAGGGAATCGCATCCCCGAAACATCTGCGTGCCTATGCCGCAATAATGGTCCTTCCTGAGTTTGTCATTTAGCGTTATCCGATTATTCCATGACATTTTTGTATTGACGTGGAAGAAAACCAACAAGCGTCACGTAAAAGTAAAGTTACGTTGACTGTAAAACGATAGGAAAACATTCGATAAGCGCGACTTATCTTTCCTGAATATCTGCTCTCTCACGTGAGAGATATCTCGTTTAACATAAACGAGTACATAAAAGTGACGGTTCTTCCCTTTTTTCTGACTAATCGAATGCACATACTTATGATACGATCCGACGTTAGATGACTTTAAACACACCGTGCGCAATGCGATGAAGGGTAAGAAAAGAAGGGAGACATATTCACATACAATTTTCTTTACGGGAAGAAAAATTAAATATCGGATGATGATATCGTGGGGGTTGTTTCTAATTTTATCCCAATCGCAGATAATTCTATCCCGAGCGAATTCCTATTCGAATAAATATGAATCACGCTTTCACAGTCGCGTGAAAGCATTTTTAATCGGTAGTTTCGCGTTGTCTATGCATGAAAAATGATTAAAAAAAAGAGGAAATATACGTAATTATCCCGTTACTTCGCACGCATTATTACAAAATAGACGGCAATTCGCTATCGCATCGATCGCGCGTACATCACCGATGCAAAGCAGAGGATAGATCGATCGGAGGGAATACGCGATTATGGACTGTTATGCGTTTTAACCGCAACGTAACGACCGGAGCGATTACTATCCTTAAGCAAAAGTGACGTTAATTAATAAAAACGTCTACGCGAACAAACCTTATCTCGCGTCGCTCCGGTCGTGCACGCAAATTTATTTATTTTTCTTTTTTTTTCTTATTTACGCTGTCCCACCTTTCTCGAATAAAATTACCATTGAATTTGATATTATCAAATCAGCACTATTATTAAATTAATTAAGTTAATTTGATTATAACATTCTGATTTTATTTAATATTAAATGTAATAATTATGTATTATTTTGTGTGTGTGTGTGTGTGTGTGTGTGTGTGTGTGTGTGTGTGTGTGTGTGTGTGTGTGTGTGTGTGATCTATTGGCAAGAGTTGCTAAGATTATATCGTCGACATTTATTGTTGTGCATATTCTAAAGGATCGACAGTTTTGTGAACAAAACTCATGGGATCAATATCAGTATTTAGAAATATTTCATTACATTGAATTTATTATTGGTTCATTATGAACAATGATAAATCTATGAGTGTATCAACGATTTTTTGTGTATTACATTATTAAAATTAAAAAGTTGTAAGGAAGTACTTTATTTTTTCCATTTTGAAATATTAACTTGTGTAAACTAATATGATTTTCATACACAGTAATAATTTTACAGCAGTAAATAATTGATTGAGAATTTATAATTGTTTTATTATACTTATAAAAATAAATACATTTATATAAATTTATAACCTGCAGTAATTCAAATTTTTATTATGTTATTGTAACATATCAAAACTGTTTTGTAATATTGTTTTATGATTGTAATATTGTAATATTTTATGATACTACATAAAGCATTTTTATGAATAAATGTTGCTAAATGTTCTATGTATATATTTATTTCATTTTTTTATTTTGTAAATATAACCATCTGAGCACTCATAAGAAACACAACTCTTTTGCAGTATGATTAAATTTAAGGCACGTACTCCCACATATTTTTGTTCCTTTTCAAATTCCCACCTTGTTTTGTCACGTTAATTAATAATTTAGAATGCTATAATAATACACGAGAAATATTTATAGCCAAAAAATCAAGAATCTGAAAACGTTTAGAAATCCGAATTGATTCCGACATTGCCTCAAAATGTTTTTCAATATCAGTCCGGATCACGTACGCTCGTTACTGGAAAACAATATAAGTCACTCGCTTTTATAGAGACGACTTCATTTCCGAGATGAATACCTAGGCGAAGCTAGACAGAATGTCAACCGGCAGTCGTCTCACGTGGCATTTTATTTCGCGATTGAATTCTGCTCGCGCGATACTGATAAGTTATGGTCGCGGTCGCAGCTAGCCGATATTCCTGGCAACAAATTCCCCGTAGGTACGGCCATATTTATGGGCTTCGTAATTCGAAAACCAGCTGTATGGAAGGAAGCAATTTGTTCGATTGCCGATACAATATTGCGACGCGGCGACGAAATAGGATCGTTCGGCGCGCGAAAAAGCCGGTGACGTATTAAATGCATCTTTTAAATGTACTCGGGACAAGGCTAGTTCGTGAGCGTGTATTCGTTTCATGAAAATGTAATCTACCATTTTTGCATTTAAATGTAAAAATTTAAATGCACACACAAGTAAACGCACGACACAAGTTAAAAATGAATCCACTTTAAATAAACAACTATATAAAATCAGATTCTAACCACACACACGCACACACACACACACAAATAAAATACAATGATGTAACTATATGGTTATATTTATTGTGTGTGTGTGTGTGTGTGTGTGTGTGTGTGTGTGTGTGTCACATATAATAATATGTATACATATATGTATACATATGTATATATATATATGTATGTATATTATTACTATGAATTTATATTATTAAATAAATGTTACGCAATATGCGATTTTGCTAAAGAATATATTAATATATTTATAATTAATGCAAAGGCGTTAATTATAAACTACTGACTGGTTGACTTCATATTATGATGTAACACAAGGCGTCATTCAACTTTCTCCATCGTCTTTAAAGTCCACGGCTGATCGGATTATTATCATAAGTAGTTGGCACAGAATATAATGCAAAAGAAGGCCATATGGAAAACCGTAATGAGACTATGCCGTCGTAGTTTCACGCAATTTGTCCATTGTTGTGCATAACAGAACAGAGGGTTGTAAAATGGTTACAGACTTGGCGTTCGTCGGCGGTGGAAATGTTTCGTGACTGCCTCCTCCGATGGAACGTCCCCTCAGCATAATTACAAGGCAAACATTCAGTGTTATCCTTATCGATATTTAACGGCACCTCACGCAAGTCGCGACCAAGCCGGCCGCTTTGTCCGGCTCGTATTTATCTCTAACGAAATGTCACCCTCGATGTTTGCCGGGTGGCAACGGCAATGATACGCTTATACGAAATTATGGGCGACGAAAGCAATTTGCCGGATGGACACTGGTGATCGGCAATTTATCGTCACGCTTTGATTCAACGAAATTGATTTGACGACGTGAAATACATCGATCACACACGAGGGATTAATTTAATTTTTTATTCATAAAGTCGGTCAATGATAAACGAGCGAGACATTTTGCGAAGAGTATATGGCTAAATAATTCATGCTGATTATGATAATGAAAACCGTCAAGGAGAATTTACCGTTGGAATTATATGTAGCAATTAGACGAACTGCATACTTTAAATAAAGGGGACCTTCGCGAGTGTTAGCAAGGTCGGATTTTTTCAAGATAATACTCTTTGTACAACAACAGCGATATTAGGTCACCGCCGTTTGTTCTGCAACGACGATGTCACAAACGACGATAATGATTATGCATGAGTGACAAGAAACGCCTTTTAAATACACACGTGATTCTATCAGCGCAATTAACAGCATAGTATTGCTTATGGAATTATGATATTCTGATAGCAGTCAACTGTGATATTTTATAACATTCCCACTTTGACATTGTATAATTAATAATATCGTTGAATTTATATGAAAGAAAATGCAGTAAGTCTAGGCCAGTCTATTCCGACTAATAATTACTTTAAAAAAATTTTTTTATTCTAGAAAAAATTGTGTTTCTTTTTTTTTCACAAAGTTTGCAACAGATATCTATCTCGATAAAATAAAATTAATGATCTCGATTGATCGGTTTTAAATTATTTTTATTTATTAATGATTTTATTGTTTGTAACAGGCAAAATGTCGGGCAGAACTAGAAGACGAAAAGAGGATGAGGAACGAAAGATAAACGATGGAGAGCAGGATAATTTCTTTACCGACGAGATAAGGGAGGAAATGGAAACGATGTGGGAGGTAATTAAGACTTTTCATTATTTTATTAATTAATCTTTGATTGTATAAAAAATGTCTCTTACAACTCTTTCAGATACCACAAATTTTCCATTTCCTCCATTTAACGAAGGAATCTCTTAACATACCTCAGTTATCTTTATATGAGATGGAAAGAATGCTATTAATGCCAAGGGCCTCAAAACAATTAGCAAACATCATGACGTGTTTGCTGAGGTATATTAAATTTAATTCGAGATAATTCTTGATAATGTGAATAAAGAACATTATAATATAGAAAATGATTTTTTTTATTATAGTTCCCCAACTACCAAAGCAAAGCTACGCAAAGTACCACCGATGCCGTATGAATTTTGGACCAATATTTTGGCTTATAAGATGTCGAGTTGGTTTAAAATTTATCGCGCAAAGCACAAAGACGCAACCAAAGTACGTACTGCTGTACATTCGTATTACAAATTGTTAGTTTATAATCTTGCATTATCTGCAATGTAGATACATAACATAAACGATAACATGCACCACAGTGACCAGAAATATGATCAAAGATTTTTAGGTTCTAGAAACCATTGGTGTTGAACCAGAATTCTGGAACATCTTCCCTGAAACTTCCTTACTTGAAGGCAAAGATTTTGAAGATCTTAACTTCAAGCAAAGAGTCTGGTTACTGAAAACTGTCTGTGATACAATTATGGTGAGTCCGAATAAAATTATTTTAAAAATAAGGAACTATTAAATTGAAGTTTGTATTAATTTTTATAGCATACCAGGAAAACTGTTCAGGAAGATATGGTGAATCAACCATGGGAGGATCAGTTTGAAACAATTTTAGGAATCGATCGCAATGGAGCGAAATACATTTACTTTCCGCAATTTATGCCGAATGACTTCAGAATTTATAGGCATTGTCTGGACAACAAAATTTTGTCGACTGTTAGGGTAATTCACTTATTTTTCTGAAACTTTGTTTCGTAAACTTAAAATATTTGATAAAAATCGGAACATTATATACAATTAGTGTTCTTGCCTGTAGTGAATAGATAATAATACATATGTATTAGAACATGGATATCGAGTTTTTGACGAGATAACAATTGAAAATTCTTTAGGTGAACACGTAGTCTGTTTTATATTTTTTCTATTTTATATATTTTTTTAAAAAATATTTTTATTATTTTTATTAATTATTCATTAATATGCATTATATAGATAATTTAATTAAAATAAGAAAATAATATACAAGCTGTATAGAAAGCAGTATGCTTGTTGTACAATATGAAGGAATTAAGGGGTAAATTCGAGCAAATTAAGGATGGAAAACATGATAAATAAATTAATCATATTTAAAGATGAAGTTTCATTTAGTCCTAATATTTATTCTCATCATAAAAAAATTCATTTCGAAAATCCTTATTAAAAAATAAAAGCATAGTATAAATTCTAATAATGACATTGAATTAATTGATAATTTTTATTTTAACATCCTGTCGAAGAATTTTTAAATGTTTATTTACTTTTAAGTACTTTTTCGAACTTACTGCACTAAAATAAATATATGTTAACATATCCACTTTGACCTACAAACTCGAATTACTATGTTAGTCATACTTAGGATTTAAGAGATTATTGACATTTTAGTAAATAAGTAGACTCTGTGCAGAGTTATATTTTCATTATTCTACTTATTAGAACTTTATTTTGAACATTTACGATTCTGACATCTGCGGATTGATCTTATATCATAACATAATTCTTATCATTGATCAAAGAATTGAGAAAAGAATTTTTTAAATAATAGACTGCCTAATTTTGACCCGAAATGGATCGTTAGATCATTTTTTTTAAATTTGTTTATTATTATCTAACTTTGATATAGTCTCTTAACTTTTATCGTAACATACTTTTATATTAATTAAGTACATCATTATTTAGGAATGTTATGTGTTCAATTCGTCCATTATTTGATTTTATCACCAAAACATTAAAGCCTTACAGCTTTAATTCCATTTTTTTCATTTTTATGTTTTGATAATTTGTCTCAATATTTGTGTTATATTGATGCTGATGAGGACTAAGTAAAGTTTAAAATGTTCATTTTTTTTAATATCTTGTGATTAATTTATATTAATTGTTTTGCATCCTTGATTTGATGAATTTGACTATTAATCCTTTTATATTAATTATTTAGTATGAATATACGATTATGGAATGAAGAAACAAATTCCTCATGATAAAATATATTTTGTATAAAAATGTCACGTTACTATGAAATTTTTAAAGAAAATTTTCAATTTTAGATATGGCTGTATCTAATAATTAGAAAACGACTATCAATCATAGAATATTGAAAATATTGGATTCAAGATTCTTGATGTTTATTATAATAAATAATCGATTTCAGAAAATTTTAAAATAATACAAAAATACTTTATATATATATAAACTTTATATATTTTACGGATATATTATAAAGTATGAATTTCGTGTATTGCAGCCTGTCAAACCAAAGCAAGAGATAGAAATGAACAAGTTAGTAAGCATGAGATTGACTAGAGGTAGAAAAAGAAAATTACACAATAATTTGTCCGATCACAGAGTAAATAGATGCGAGAATAGAACCGATGATAAGGATCTTAGTAATAATGATAGCGCTGCAGGTTCGTTTATCAGTGAGGATACGAATCTGAGTAGTACAAGTACGTGTAGTAATAATAATAATATATGCCTGGATGTCATAAGAAGAAAGCGTAGCAGGAGTTTATCGAAAATGTCTGAAGAAAGTACGCTATCAAACGCAAGATCCAGTGGTTATGATACTTATACCTCTAGTGATAATAGATCTGCCGACGAGTTGGAGATGTTCAAGGGCTTTGCCAATACTCAAAATGATAACTGTAATATAGAGATAATTAATGAAATGTTAGATGATTTAACATCGGAAATCGACGAGGAAATGAGACCCGAACGCGAGTACAATGACGGCGAAGGAAACTTTGTAGAATTGTATAAAAATATAACAATATCTTGTAGTGAAGCATTAGCTGCTGAAAAAGATGAAAGATCGAGCGATAATTCATCCAACAGTTCGAAGACAGACGATGAAAAATTACACGAGATAATCAATGCCGAGAATTCAAAGTTACCTGAAGATGTATATTCCAAAAATATTTTGATCAGTGATAATATAAGTGATATTTCAACGTTGAGCTCCAAATCAGATGATGAGAAATTGAGTGAAACGAAAACTAGTGATAGTAACATTAATGTAAGTGAAAAAAGTTTGAATAGAAAAACAACATTTAACGAGTTTTCTGTATCTTCCTGTATCGATAGTGCGTTCAATGAACAAGTTGTTGAACGACAGCATTTCAGTGATATGGAAATATCTTCATCGATAGTAGAAACAAAATCAAATAAATTGGTTAAAAAAAACTAACTTAACAAAAGAAATGAATTTACGATCTCCAAGTACAATAAAGCAGTGCAATAAAGAAGATAAAATTGAAATGAAGATGAAAGAAGAAATAAAAGAGCAAGGATTAGAAAATGATGAAATAGATGAGACAAATGAGGAAGATTTCTTCACAAATGAGATGCGATCACACGAAAACACGGAATATGATTTGGATGATTACACGAACAATTCTGATAATAATTACAATTTGCGAAGTTGCAAGGATCCACAAACAGATGAATACAAACAACATTTCGATAAGATGCTGTCCGATCTCAGCATTTCCGAATTTTATCTTGTAACTGATAGTGTGGAAGGATTAAGAGGTCTCATTGCTAATTTGTCAAACAATGACTCCAACAATGTAAGTTTGATACAATGATTTTATTGATATTGATTTTATTTATATAATATTTTATTACTTATTTATTTAAAATTTCGTTATATTTACAGATGGATATTGTTCCTTTGTGTGAAGTGAAATTGATAAAAAAGTTGACTGATTTGTTAAATTCTTTAGAATCGACGGAGACTATTTTGAAGGATGCAATGCGAAAAGCAAAAGCGAAACTTCAAAGAGAATGGTCTAACTTTAAAGACGGGTATGTAATATAATATGATCTTTTATATTTTAAAGTGCGAAATAATTGGACATTTATTTCTCAAAATCTCATGCACCGTCATATATTAAAATAACCGGAAAATCATTAAAAATATTATCTCATGCTGTGCCATTCTGCTTTATTAATGCTCATGAAATTTCTTAGCTTGGTGCATAAGCATGCAGCATGAAACAACATCATACATCATAACTTTGCATCTTCATATTTTCTCATTTTCATTGGTTAACACATTGGCTACGGCGTCAGTCCCTAGGGACTGACACTGATCTTTCCGTTTGGACGGCGTCGATCTCTAGGGACAGACATTACACTTTTCGTTTAGGTCGGCCGTGGATCGACACTGTTAAACTTATCAAATAAAATTGATAATTCAATAAAATATAAAGATGACATATTTTTCAATGTAGTTTATTAAAGCAATCTAAACATAAATTTGATTTTTTTACACGCAAAACGTTATGACGTTTATTTATTATTATTTTTTTCCATCTCTTAGCCATCGTCTTCTTACTCGAAATCTTGTGTTTATACTTCCTATGTTTATGTATTGGTCGAATTTTAGAAAAAGATTAGAACAGAATAGTCGAATTGAGCGTGTTATCTTCTGTTTATGCTCTATATGACCCAGCTCGCGCTCAACTCTCTGCGCCGACCGAACGAAAAGCATACCGAAATTAGTTCCGTAGCCAACGTGTTAAATTACCTGACGCCTTGAGATTGCTACAATCCATGATGGTGTGACCGTTGTTCACACCTTTTCCAGTAACATTAATCTCTTTGTCGAGCATATATGGCAGACAAGTTGATGGTGTGTTGTAGCAGTGTGGAGGATCAGGACTCATCCAGTGAGGGTGGTCTCAGCTCTAATTGGTGGGTTCTTGGATCGCAGGGCAGGGATCCATTGTCAATTCCCGGAGACGCAACGTTACAAACGTTACCGCAACCTACTCTATCCCCACTTGGCACCCAAAACACCTCAAAACAGCCGCGGCAACAAGTCGAGGGCGAACACGAAATTGCAGCCAAGAGTTTCAAACAGAGTTACTGCGAGAACCGGGAAACGAGCGACAAGCAGCGAAACGAAAACGACCAGAAACAACCAGATGTTGAGGCGCCATCAGGAAGAAACCAAATCGCGAAAGAGGGAAAGAAACGACAACACAAGCAAGACGAAGAGAACGAGAGCGCATGGAATGACAAAGGTATTCCTCTTTTCATCACTTCCCATATTTTTTTTCCTCTTCATATCAGGAATGATGCGAAACATTTTTCGCAGACGCAGAGCAGAAAACGGAACACGGTAGTCGACGAGTACTACGAGCGCGCGGCATCTCTTCATACACAGAACAGCTCTATTCAGATGACGAAAGCAACGAGAATGAGCTGGAGGAATGGGCCGACGTTGAGGCAGTGTATGCGGCTCCCAGCACACAGAACGATACATCCACTTTTCACGCTGATCCGAAAGAGCGACACGCTGGCGACTGGTCGGAAGAGGAGGACTCAGATCAAGATTGGATTTTACCGAGCTCTCGCAAAAGGAAAAATAAACGTTCATGTAAGTATCCGATTTTTATGGTAATTCTGTTTATTAGAGTTGTGTTGCATTTTGTTTATATTTTTGTAATTAATAATAATAAGCAAGCAATAATAATAAGCAAATCCAATTTGGCTCTCTAGCCTTTACTTATTTTAATTAAAATTTGGTTTTTGTGGTGAAATGAATATCGAAATCAATATTAATATAATAAAAATATTATATTAAAATTGAAAATGTTAGATGATTTATTTAACATTCTTATAATTTTGATGTTTTAGCTACCAATCGAAAATTAAAATCGTTTGAGAATAAGGTGCAAAACATCAAGGAAAATGCATCTTCGTCTCAGAACAATATGGTATCTGGTGCATCTCATCCTGTCAATGCAAAAATCAAGGATAAGCTGAAAGTTAAACTCAAGGATAACAAAATCAAAGAGCCCGAAAAAATAAATGACTCGCAAAGTTCTGGCACTAATACCATCATATCTACAGCGAACAACAAAAAATCTGAGGAAGCGATGCCTTCCACGGATGCAATTTGCAATATCGAATCTGTCAGCAGTGTGCATTCGGAACTTGATATCAAAGATGAAAATCCATCGTATGAGTCTAATCCGATGATAAACTATGATCAAAACAATTATGGGCCCATGAATCCACAACAAAATTATTATTATATGATGCCGAACTCCGGAATTGTACAGGGAGTAGTTGCACCACCGCAAGTTCCACAAGGTTATTACATACAGCCGCACATGCAGCCGAATTACATAATGCAGACTCCGCCCGTCCCTCAGCAACAGCAGCTTGTTTATCAGCAACAGAGACCTCAAATGATAGTAGGTCAACCGTATGTTAGCAACGCGAATTATGCGTCCTATATGGTGGCTACGACGCAGCCTCAGATAGAATATATGATCGCAGCCAGACCGATGATAAGTCCGCAGAATCCAAATCCCAGGCCGCAAAACAGATACAACTCAAATAATAGATATCCGACGCCACGACAGAGTTTACAGCATCCTAATGGCGCGGTGATAAGAAGCGGTAGCATACCTATTAGAAGCAATGGTCCAAGGTCCGCCAATTCGAAATCAGTGAGAGGAGGCAGTGTTTCTCAACGTACACCCAGAACAGTACCGAAGCAGAAAGTACCGCAGACACCCAGCATAGAGAACAGCGGTCAGAAAACTACGTCCTTAATCGTACTTAGTGATAGCGATGATGAGATAGAGATGATAATCATGGAGAAACCCAGTACCACTGTAACTTCGATCGATAAAGTTAGGTCGTCAGCGTCTCGAGATGATATTAATCAGTTTAAACAGAAACCTACGATCACTTCGGATATCACCGTACCTTCGACGAAGGGCATTCTTCCGCCGCAGATCATTCAACGAATGAGTCAAGGCGGTATATCGATTACGCCAGTAAAAAATAATCCGCCGCCACAGGCAACAAATGCCAGCACACAGTTGGTAGTGGTCGTAAATGAAACCGGAAGTCATTACGCCTTGGCACTGCCCAACGGCAGCAAACTCATACTTACTCCGGAACAAGTAGCACAGATTAGAGCTTCAAATGGAGGGAAATTAATCTTGTAGAGTATACAATTAATTAGCCCGATTTATCTTTGCTTTGTTCCTTAATTTGTTGCAATATGTGATATGTGCGATTTGATAACTTTTATTTTCATACTGGTATGCTAATTATTTAATTATTAATTATTAGATTATAAGAACAAAGAGAGAATTTATCAACAATTTATTGATATCTCATCGTAACGACGATTGTGTTTGAAGAGAATTAATTTAACGATTCTAAGTCGATATATTTTTCGTTACATAATGTACAAATAGTATTTTAAAGAGTATTATTTCTTAGTATTGATTAATTTTTTCTCATGTACAGTTTATATATTAATCTTTAGTACAATATAAAATATGAATGGCCCTTTCATATATTACAGAGAATAACAGAGTTTCTATTATAACTTTGCCATATCTCTTTCGTACTATTGAAATAATTATATACATATATATTAAAATCGAGGCAATTGAAATTGAGTCATATTAAAATCTTCATCAATAGAGCTATGTTTATGATTAAAAAAATGGAATTATATTATAAAACATTGTTATAAAAAGATGCAAGAATGTCTTTTTAATCTGTTTTATGTAATAGGGATATTGATCATAAATGCTTCATCGAGTAATATCGGGCATTTGAAAATAGAATTCGAATTAAATATAAATTTATCTGTAATTTAAATTTTGTAATGAATGAAGATGAAGAAATGTTAGTGTCGTTGTACATTTGACGAATATTAACATTTAAAGTTTTATGGGAGAATAGGATTTTAACCTTCTTTTCCTCCTTCCATAAATGAAAATGAAATATTGATTTGAAAATACAAAAGTAGATAATTTGTATACAGAGGAAGCTATTCAAAATAGCGAATTAATCATTTTATGTGAGAGTTTTAAAAGATTATAATTTTTTATATATGTCTCCAATTCAGTTAATGTCGTATCAGATAGCTGATAATCAGTTTAGAAAAAACCATTACATTTTAATTGGAACTTTTCGTTCGAATCTGTATAAATATACTCTATAAATTCTACCATATATTTCTGTAATTAAATACTGCAAGACAAATTATTGTAATATATATTTAATTTACATTAAAAAAAAACTGTTCCTAAATAGCATCTGAATAAATGTGCACTGATCAACACAAATATATTGTCACAATATCAAACATTATAATTGACATTTACTGATTAAAAAGTAACAATGTATAAAGACAGGTAAATGGATATATATTTCTTTAAATATATTATTCTCTTTTCTTACCTAAGAAACGTTCTACATAACTAAGAAATAAAATGTTTTTAATATATGTTACAAAAATAATCTCACTGCACTTCTCGGAAGACGTTCGCACTTGCGCATTAAGCCGAGTAGGAACGTTAAGTCATTTAAAGTACACAAGTATCACGAATAAATGGTAACATAAATAAGCGATCAGCAGCAGGTCCGGCCCGCTGATTGTTGGGACGCAGTTCTCGTTAATTGGGTTACAGAAACTCGGCGACTTTTTTTTTCCTTAGTTGCATTCGCATATTCGCGACATGTAAAATAACATAACGAATGCGTTTATTATGCGAACAGCTGCGTTAGTACAAGGTCTCCATCGTCCTTGAATGCAGCCACTCTCGCCTACACCTGATTCTTCTTTCGCGCGTACGGTAAATCTTTGTCGAAGGCCAGAAACTTGGACAGGCGTGTCCCGTTATACGGCGTGTTACTTCCCGGTGGATGAAGTCTCATCTAAAACAAAAGGCCAACGTTAGATAATCATATGTATGACAGTAGCGTAAATAATCTATCTACGATGTAATTTACATTTTCCTCGCACTCGGCGTGATTAATTATTTATATGCACTCGATCTTGAAGGACTACATACCATGAGCTCCTGACTTTCGATATATCTCCTCGAGATACCGTGACACAAATTGACGATTAAAATAATTTAATAAACAATATTTATTCTATCAATGCTTTATTCATGTATATATCTGTATATGTGAAAGTAAAATCTTGATGTATACACAGTGATAGAGTGATAAGGAAACTTATAAAATATTTTATATTTGCAAACTCGTAAAGTCTTGAAAGATGTGACTTCTGTGAACATCTTATTTATTTCGAAATTCTCCGATCACATTTTTTTAGATAATCTGACAAATTTTTTATTTCCATGGTTAAAAATGTCTACAAGCGTCTAATAAATGCGATTTATAATATGGCTTACTAACATGTGATTCAAACATGTAAGCTATTCTAGTTGGATCCTCATCTGAAAGCATCAACACTTCCCGAAGCTCCGTCAAAAGGTTAATGATCAATCACCCAGTTCCATTGCGGTTAGTTTTATTAATAATGTTATAAAAATAAATTTTCCCCTTGACGAAGCTTAAAAATTAGAGAACCAATTTTATCGTTCCTTATCGTATATCTCGTGCCTTAAGTAGAAAAATGTTTACTACAAACTATCTCGTTATTTCATGAATATTTTGCTTGTTAATTTTTTTTTTTGTTATCCATTTCTTCATCTTGAATATTCGATGCGGCAGTGACTTGATTATCTACTAATGTACTGTTTGCTTGAATACAAACGTAACATAATAATATTATATATCGTAATAATGAAGAAATGGATAATTTAAGACGATAACTGCGAGTTTATCTGCGTTGCCGTTAAGTATTATTTTATACTAAATATTATTTTATAAATGTGTCGAGCTCTCCCTCCGACGCAGCAGCAGCCCCGAGCATTAGTATGATGTGGTTTTGATTCTATTTGGATTTTATGATTTGCGTGCGTGTAGATTGCGGTCGTGCAGCATCATTCCCGTTCTATTTCTCGACATCAATTTTCGCATTCCCATCCTGATTATTGAATCGCTTCTGTAATGAGAAAAAAACCGACACCAATCCGTTACACGCATTATGGGATTTTCGATGTTATGTTTTTTTCCATGAAATCGAATAAACTTTCTTTTTTAATATTTAAAGTAACATTAATTTTCTATCTTGCAAGCTCATTGATCTTAATAATGATAGCATCTAATTTAATTGGAAATTAGACATTTTCAAAAGGGCAATATGCTTCTGTATATCAATAAAAATATTGCTTTCCCATAAATATAAATTCTTTGAATATTCTCTAAGTTAAAGTTGTATGCGTGCCAATTTTTTAAAGACTATATAAAGACACATTTTCACCTCCGGCAATTTTCACATGCGTGTTCTATCGCGATTTTGAGTAAAACTCGATACTCACCATGATTCTATACTTTTCCTTGCAGGCATACTCGGTCTCATCCACGTCGTTATAACAATCGCTCTTGTAATCTTCAGGTATCGGACGACCCTCGAACTGACAGAGCCTGGAAAGCGGCCTCGCTTTGACCAGCATTTTCTCGAAACCGATCGGCTTGTGTTGCGGACAATAAAACACGTCCGGAGTATTCTTATCGAAGACGATACTCTTGCGCATTATGTCACCGCACTGCACCACGACGAGAAACGTCTGCGGCACAGATATATAATATATATAAAAAATGATTAAAAAATTTCTTTTCATGAAATTAATATAATAAATCATAGAAAAATTCTCATTCTTCTGCTGTATATAATTTCGAAAATTAAAAATTTCAATTATTTCAAGTTTTAAATTAAAAATTAAAAATTTTAGATATTACCGAATTGTAGACATGCGCAGCTTCGCGCATACTTAATTAGAAAAATTTATAAATTATCTCGCTATCATTTAAGCGCAAAATTATTCAACAGGAAGGAGGACGTTTTAATTTCACGCTAGGAAGTTTCTCATACGCGTTACGGAAACTAGCTGGAATTAATTTATGTGCGATTTCGGTTAATTAAATTGTCGGCGTTTTAGCTTCCCGCACAGAGAATTCCCGAATCGATGTGCGAGAGAAAATGATCAGCTTCCGGGAGTAAGAAGCATAGGAAAGTGCATTCGCGAGTCTGCATACGTTCCATGATGAATGAAAGTCCGACCACTTACGGCGAGTGCGACGAGCAGGCTGCAGACGTAAATGTTCCCTGCAAAAAAAACAAAAAGGTGAGTCAGCGCGGAAAAATCAACTACGCAAAGTGGTGCAATGTCATAAAAAAAGAACACAGAAAAAAAAGATAGAGAAAGGATTCGGAATATTTACTAGCGGCGATTTATCTTGCGCAAGTATAAAATCTCGCAATTCCGCCGTTAAGGACAAGAATATGCCGAAGACAAGAACGTAATACATAAATGAAATAATAATTTCTAGATTTTTTTTACTAAATTATACGCTGAGTATGGCATGTACATAAATTCTTGAATTATTATTTCCATTTTAATTAGCAGATTATTCAAGTAATTAAATAAAAATAGAATATAATATTTGTTCCTCTTAAAGTAGCCCATTGAAGTGTTTCTCGTGCAATTTGCACTTCTCGTTCACAATGGCAAAACGCCGGACGTCCGTTAACTAAGATCCAGGTTCGGATAATTTCTTCCAGTCACAGAGTCGCGTAATTGCGATCACGACGCCCGATAAGACCTTCTCTCCTCTCTTTTTTTCTTCGCCCGTGAATCGATTAACGTACACGCGTTTCCACAGTTTTCAATTCTGGGTCAGCGTTTACTATCTTCTCGCATCGCGCGTTCGCACATGTATTTTTTTTTCACGGTCAACGACCAGAGTCCGGTCTCGGCATCGCGTGCGAGAGGTTCTCTCTCGTTCCATGCTGACCCAAAATCAATCGAACCGTCTCGGCTTTTTGACATTATCACGGCCCACGAGACTTTCCCCGTGATTTACGCAATGCACACGCGTAAAACGTATCCTGGTCCGCGGACAGTCGCTGGCCGACGCATAAATTTCCGTCGTGGAATAAATTTCGATTTAAGGCGCAGCGCGCAATTCTTCCACTTAAAGAAGAGTGGGACTTGGTTCGATAAACATAAACGGAAGAAAAATCGTTTCATCGATGTTGAAGCGCACGGTTGCGTAACATTTGATTGTATGCACCAAGATGCATCTGTACGTGACATTTTCATGGCGAGATATTATCCATGACATTTCAGCGTCTATCCGGATCGAATAGATTGTTAGTAGCTAGGCAAAAGACATTTGATTGTCGAAGTTTTCTCTCTTTTTCTCTCTCCTGTATATTCTTTTCCAATACCTGTAATTTGAACGAGAGATATTTGTACGTTTTATTATTTTTCATCTTTGCAATTGAGACGTACTTGCATATGTGGAAAGTGATTTTCTTGTATCTCTCTTCTAATTTACGAACTTTCGTCAAATTCCACGAGAAACTGTATGAACGAACGAGAAATTTTTGTAAATTATGTAAGGAACATTTCAATGGGCTACTTTAACTAGCAAAATAACGAATATCTGATAAACATCAAACAGCAATGTCGAAAGAGCAGAAAATATGTAAGGCAATCCTTTCTTATGCACTTTTGTTTTTGAGATTTAAAATTAAATTATTTAAATTATTGTATCATAATATATTTTTAAAATATATTAATCTTAATTGAATGGTAATATCATACATAGATCAGAAAGTATAAAAAAGATATCTGAAAAGATATCTAAAAGATCTAAAATATCCAAGAAACATTTAAAAAATAAATATGTATATCTTTTTGATATCATTATTATAGTCTCTAAATATTCGAGAATAAATTATGTAAATTATTTTCTTGGGATATTTATAATATAAAAAAAAAAAACGTACAAGAAATATCTAAAAGACATTTAATGTCTGAGAGAACGAGATCCTCTTTTGGCACTTTTGTATCATCTACGCATTTTCATCATCCAAGAAAGGATGTCGTTAAAATTGCTCGACCATGACAAAACTCGCTGAATTTACATCGAGACTATGACGCGAGACTGCACGCGGAAGGATCCAGGATCGTTTTCCGCGGGATGGGCGGGCGAGATTCCAACGCGACGCGCTAGGTCGTGAGATCTGTGTATTGTAGGATAGGTTCCAACGCGATATCCTGTTATTTGACACACTCGACCCTTTTCGTCGGGTAGGAACAGCATATTAGGAAAGATCTCAGCCAAGTCGTGCTCAACTTACCCATGCTTCTCGGGCGACGTTCGCTCACACCTGTTGAACCTCACGACACGGTGTCTCCTCGTCGACTGATCTGCCGCGGTGTCTCCTCCTCGCCTGAGGACCGTCCGTTAGATAGCATGGAGTATAGTAGTCACCGATCCGCGCTGCAGACAAAAAAATATTAACAGTAGAGCAGTTATATCTTTAACGTTTTGTGAATATTCAATGTTCCATAAAAATTAAGATTATATGATAAATCCTGGCATTTAATGTGCTAATATTATAATTAAAAACTTACACTTTTTATGTTTATATACAATAAATAACATAGTCTATTGATATTAATAAGATTTCTGTTAATAATAATAATAATACCTCTTTCAATTAAAAGATAATTAAATTTTTTTTAAAATATATTTATATCAATGGCACAGTCTCCTATTCTGAAATTGTGTTGCACTCGGGGCATTAAAATGTCGTGATTCGCTGTTGAGTACAGGACGTTTCAAATGCGAGAATCGTTGATGAGAAATCATGCGTTTCATTAGCGACCGTCGTCGCGTCGTATCGGATTTCTTTCCTTTTATAGATACAGGATGAGTCACTGCGCATCATCCTCGACAAATCGAATTGAATAAA